CAGGTATTATTAGCATTTTCAAAAGCCAGTTGTTTGATTAGGATATCGGCTGCCTCTTTGTTATTGATTACTCTCTTGACTGCCTGCATGAGGCGAGAAAGGAAATCCTGATATGGTTCCTCGACCTTCTGTTTAACCTCTGTAAGGGTGGTGGTTTTTCCTGCTGTATAAGGTAGGGATTTCCAGGCACTTACTGCACAACTGGTTACTTTGGTAAGTGCCTCTGTGGGCATATTCATTTGCTCCTCAGCCGTGTTAAAATCACCTTCTCCTAATATCATGTCTAGGGTTATTCTTTTTCTGGTTTTTTCGCTAGTGGCTACAGCTTTCTTAGCAAGATCTTCATATTCAGTTTTCCATAATAAGTAATCGCCTCCTGAGAGACAGGATTTACAAACCTGTGACCAATCATAAGGAGTCATCCATTTACTGGCTAGGGTTTCTACCAAGGTTTGTGTGTAAGGAGCTAGAGGTCCATATTCAGAGCAGGCCAATTTTAATTCTTTAAGTACTTTGTAAGGTATAGGCTCCAAGGTGGGGTTTCTATTCCCACCAGACTCATTCTCATATGTAACTGGGAAGCAGAGTGAGAATTCAAGATCTCCATTAGCTTCAGCTTCTCTTATCGCCCTTTGAAATTTAGACATGGAGCTCATAGGAGCCACAGGACCTGGTTTAGGCTTCCTTTCTAATTTGGGGAGCCTGTTTTGAATGGGAGGGCTATTCTCCTCTCTACTGACTGGAAAGGAACAATGGTCATGTTTATGATATTTATTCTCCTCCCGATCAGTAGGCATAGCTAAATTGCTTTTAGATTGAGCTGAAGACAATGATGATGTGTCCTCTCTGGGTGGAGCCGAGGGACTATTTAAATTTTGAGAAAGTTCAACCGTTTTTGCCTCTGGTGCCAAGGTGTCACAGATTGAATCCCAGAGGGAAAAGAAACATGGCAGGACCTTGTCAGATTCATGGTGTTTCTTTAATTGCTTTCCTACTTCAACCCAAGTTTTTAAATTAACAGTTCCATCCTCTGGAAGCCATTGACATACTTCTTCTATAAAACTTTCTGTCTCACTGGGAAAAACCTCAACTCCAATTCTGCTAGTAAGCATATGCGTTAAAAGATTAATACAGAGTCTTTTTTCTTTAGACTCAGTATGACCCATCTTGTCAATCTAAGTTCTGTACTAACTACCCGCTTACCCTACTTATCCTCTATAGGGGGGGTCTGAAGCACCCTACGGTGCAGTCCTATCCGTCCCAAATACGGGGGGACTTACCTAAGGGAACCCTGTTCGGGCGCCAGATGCCGGGGTCCAACCCCAGCAGGTCCAGGGGTTCCCAAAGGCGTAGACGGAGTCGGCGAAGAAGGAAGGACACGGAGACAGTGTTCAGTTGATCAGCAGCCTAGCCAGGATCTCTAGCCAGGATCTCCAGCCAAGTTCTGGTCTGGATCTCCAGCGAAGTTCTGCTGTTTATTGTCTTGTTACATCCGTATTTATACCAGTTGATTTTAATCCTGTCAATTTCTATTACAAAGGTTAGGGCGTTTCTTATCTCCATTCCAGGGAGTAAAGATTATGTAGCTTAAGCATGATTGTTTGTAGTTAAAGTGATTAACTACCCGCCTGGCACTTAGTTAAGGAGTTTCATCCCCTCCCTGACTTCAGGGAAAAATTCCTACCTGGGGAAACAACCTTTCTAGGAGAGGCATCCCCTCCCTGACTTCAGGGAAAAATTCCTACCTGGGGAAACAACCTTTCTCGGAGAGGTGACCTTGGTTAAAACACACAGCGCTAAGGGGAGCAAACATATTAAGAACAGTATGCTATATACGCCAGGTCCCTTGAAACATATGCTGTGCAGATGTTTCTTTCCTGCAGCGACTGTGTCAAGCAGCAAGGATGGACCGGCTTCCGACAGCATTTCATATAATGCGGTTTGGTGGTGATGAACTCCTTTAGCTTTTTCTTATCCGTGAAGCTCTTTATCTGACCTTCTATTCTGAATGATAGCTTTGCTGGATAAAGTAATCTTGGTTGCAGGTTCTTGCTATTCATCACTTTGAATATTTCTTGCCACTCTCTTCTGGCCTGCATGGTTTCTGTTGAGAAATCAGCTGACAGTCGTATGGGTACGCCCTTGTAGGTAACTGACTGTCTTTCTCTTGCTGCTTTTAAGATTCTCTCTTTATCTTTTGCTCTTGGCATTTTAATTATGATGTGTCTTGGTGTGGTCCTCTTTGGATTCCTTTTGTTTGGGGTTCTCTGTGCTTCCTGGACTTGTAAGTCCATTTCTTTCACCAGGTATGGAAAGTTTTCTGTCATTATTTCTTCAAAAAGGTTTTCAATATCTTGCCCTCTCTCTCCTTCTGGTACCCCTATAATTCTGATGTTGGTACGCTTGAAGTTGTCCCAGAGGTTCCTTACACTATCTTCATATTTTTGGAATCTCTTTTCTTTTTTCTTTTTCGGTTGGGTATTTTTTGTTTCTTTGTATTTCAAATCTTTGACTTGATTCTTGGGATCCTCTTGTCTGCTGCTGGATCTCTGTAAATTATTCTTTATTTCAGTCAGTGTATGCTTAATTTCTAGTTGGTCCTTTTTCATGTCCTCCATGGTCTCACTATACTTATTGAGGGATTCATTAAATTTATCGGCGGTTTCCATAAAATTCTTGAAAAACCTTATAAACGTGGCCTTGAACTCTATATCCAATCGTTTGCTTTCCTCCATTTCTGCCATTTGTGACCTGTTTCTTTGTCTCCGCATTTTGGCAGCTTCCCTGTGTTGATAGAGTGGCCCTGCGCGCCAGGTGTCCTGTAGGGCCCAGTAGCTCAGCCTCCCCAGTTACCTGGGGTGGACACTCTTGGTGCACTCTTGGTGCCTTGGTTGTTGTAGAATCACTGGGAGGAATTGACCTCCAGGCCAATTGGCTGTGAGAATCAGCTGTGTCTAAAGTGGGAGAACTTCTGTGCTGAAGACACCCTTCTGGGGCAAGACTTGCTTCAGTGGGGCTTTGGTGCTCACTGAGTCTGCTCCCTGAGTGTGTCCCTTATGGATCTGAGTAGTTGCAATCTGGATGGTCCCCCTCTGACCACTGGGTACAGTGGCTCCTGGATCTAAGGAGGTGCTAATTCAGCCTCTGCCTGAGGCCACACAGCAGTAGCCACGAAGAGGCTCAGCTGTGAAGCAATGCAAGCCGCTGCGGGGCCTTGGGCCTTCTCTTGGAAGTTCCGGGTCTGCCTGGCTAGGCTGCAGTTAGGTAAATTCACATGCAAAAGCCTCTGCCGCAGCCTGGGTGGGGCGGGGTCTCAGGGAATCAAAGGGCGGATCAGGGAGCTATGGCTGATTCTCCGCCCGGAGTCGCGCGTCTCAGTGACCTGCTAATTGCTGCAAGCACCTCTGAGGGAAAGCCGCCTTCAAGTTCGCCCGCTGCCGGACAGACCAGCTTCTCCCCGTATGAGACCTGGGTCCCCAGAGACTTCCCGGAACCGGAGTTCAGAGCCGTCGGGAGCTTGTGATTCCAAAAAGACAGCCGCGTCCTCAGGCGCCACCCCCTTTCCTCGCGCGCGCGCGCCGCCGTACCTCTGCACTTCACCTCCGCAGCGCCTCTGGCTCTCAGCGTGCTTTTCTTTCCTTCTAGTTGTGGAATTTACACTCAGCCAGCCTTCCTGTTGTTCTGGATGATGTTTGCTCAGTCCTTTGCGGTAATTTTCAATTGTTGTGGGAGGCGGCAATTTCCCGGTGTTTATCTATGCCGCCATCTTAGTTTCTCCAAAAGCCAAGTTGTTTTTTATGTTCAACAAACGTTTCATCCCTGGGATAAACCCCATTTGGTGTTTAATCCTTTTTATAAGTCGCTGGGGAAGGCTCTCTCTCATCCTTTTGTTTGTTTACTTAATCCGAACCTGAGGATCTTTTCCCATTGATTTTAGAGAGAATGGAAGAGAGGGGGGGAGGTAGGGGGCAGGAGGGGAAAACAGAGGGAGAGAGAGTGAGAGAGAAGATAGAGACACATCGATGTGAGAGAGACTCATCGATTGGTTGCCTCCTGCGCACACCTTGACTGGGGCCGCGGATCGAACCTGCAACCCAGGTACGTGCCCTTAACTGGGAGTCGAACCCGCGACACTCTGGTGTGCAGGCCGACGTTTTAACCATTGAGCAACACGGGCCAGGGCCCTTTTATCCTTTTTTTTTTTTAAATATATTTTATTGATTTTCTACAGAGACGAAGGGAGAGAGATAGAGAGCTATAAACATCGATGAGAGAGAAACATTGATCAGCTGCCTCCTGCACATCTCCCACTGGGGATGTGCCCGCAACCCAGGTACATGCCCCTGGCCGGAATCAAACCCGGGACCCTTCAGTCCGCAGGCCGACGCTCTATCCACCGAGCCAAACCGGTTTCGGCCCTTTTATCCTTTTAAATATCAGAAAGTATCTGTTGTAAACTCACTCACTCTCTCTCTCTTTCTCTCTCTCTCTCTCTCTCTTTACTAACTACTGGAACTTTTGGTAAACACTTTGCAGCTAAAGAAGGACAGCATTTGTGTCTGGATGGGGACGCAGAAAGAGGCCTAAATGCAGGCGCCGTGTGCGGGCGGCCGGGCTCGGCACGAAGGAGGTTCAGGGTTACAAAGCGCAGGTGCACTGACGACTGCGCTCCGTGTGGCGTTTCTCACGACAGGAAAGTGCGGGCAGAGCGCAGGCGGCGGGAGCCGGAGGCAGGGCGTGGCAGTGGGGCCTGTCAGTGGGTCCCCGTCTCCCCGTCTCCCCGTCTCCCCGTCTCCGGGGGTCTCCGCTCAAGGACACAGTTCACCGCGAAGCCAAGTCCCTAAGAAAAGTGAAGCATTTTTCTCTTTTGCTTCTTTTTGGAGCTTGTAAGACCAGTCACAGACGATTTCTGAAGTGCGATTGGGTAATAACTGTCCTTTAAAACAAACCAGTTAAAACCACACGCCTTCCTGTCCCGTCTCCGTCCTCCTTTCCTTTAGTCGCAGCTCAGCGTCCTGGAGGGAGTCTCTCACAGCGACCTGCGGAGGTTCGGGACCCTCGTGTCCGCTGTGGTCACCAAGTCCTGGCCCAGGCGCCACGGGGAGGCCGTGGACGACCTGGCGGAGGTGCTGAGGTACCTGCTCACGTGGCCAGACGTCACGCATCTCTTCAAGCTCTACGGTGTGTCCTCGGGGTGTCCACTCGCGTCCCGCGGACCTGCGGCGGGGTGGGCGCTGGACCTGACGCTCGGGGAGGGCGGGCCGATGTCTGGCAAGGAAGCCGATTGGCTGGGCCGGGGGGCCTGTCTGTGGGGAGGACACCTGAGGGCCCGTCCCTGGCACAGCTGTGCACAGCTGCTCTGTCCCTCAGGCCGTCCTGGACGTCAAGTCCCCCTGAAGGTCCCGTTTTTCTTTCTTCTTTTTCTTTTTGAGAATGTTCACCCGACGATATTTTTCCATTGATTTTTAGAGAGAGTAGAAAGGAGGGAGGGAGAGAGAGAGAGAGAGAAACATTGATGTAAGAGAGACACATTGATTTGTTGCCTCCCAGGGTCCTGGGCCAGGGATTGAACCTGCAATCCAGGCACATGCCCTTGACTAGCAATCAAACCCCAGACGCTGTGGTCCGCGGGGCCGACACTCTGGTCTAACCACTGATCCACACCGGCCAGGGCAATGGACCTTCATTTTTTAAAAATATGTTTTCATTGACTTGAGAGAAAAAGGAGGGGAGAGGGAAAGAGAGAAACAGCAATATGAGAGTGTAACATCGATTGGCTGCCTTCTACACGCCCCCGACTGGGGATCGAGCCCGAGACCCAGGCATGTGCCCCAACCGGGAATCGAACCGGAGACCTTTCGGTGCGTGGGAGTGCGTCTCAGACCTAACCCTCTTGAGTGTGACCCCCCTCGCGCTGCCTGGGCGTTAGGGCCGCGCAGCGGGGAGGTTCCTGTTGCCGGGAGGAGAGGCCCCACGGCTTTAGACTCTGTTCTCACCTGGGCAGGCACCAACGAGAAGGTCTTGGCGCACATCACAGAGGAAGGCAAGAAGCTGATGGCGACGGCCGACTCGGTCTTCACCAAGGTGGCCGAGGACCTGCTCGACGGCGCCGTGCTGGTGGGGCAGCTGGAGCTGATCTGGAGTCACAGGGCGCGGTTTCTTGACATCTGGGAGCTGAGTGAGTGCCGGGCGCCAGCTGCTGGGGGTGACGGGGGTGTCGGGCTCACGGGGTTCCCAGAGGCTGATCTTTGAGAGGCTCTTTTTGCCGCGAGAGTGACAGGACGGTTTCTTTTCTTTTTTGGAAAAAAACCCACAAAAGATTGATGAATTTATTTATTATTTTTGAAACAATCGCACCGCTCTAAGAAAATGGGAGCGACAGTGAAAAGAACTTTCTAAAAACCCTGCACCGTGGGAGAGTCGGCTGCCACACGGATGCCCGTCCTCCTGGGGACTTGAGCGTGCACTTCCCGTAGGCCAGGCCTGGCCCCACGAGCTACACGGTCCCCACCGATGGCAGAAAATGAACCTTGACAGGTGACCCCCTGGAATGTCCGTGGTCCAGGACTGGTATGGAGAGCAGGACCCCGCACGGAATCAGACGTGGCATTTTGTGTCACGTGGTGTCCAGTCCTCAGGAAAATAGAGCAGGAAAGTGATCAGACCGTGACCGAGCCCCAGTGCTCACCGGCCCGTCCCACTGCTGAGCGCGGGCGCTGAAGGGGCTGGGCTCGCGCCCTGAGCGGGCATCGCTTCCAAGAAGAGGAGGAAACAGTCGCCATGGAGAAGGATCGGTTTGTTTGTTCTATTGGGTAACTTTTTTTTTTTTAATGCCAGAGAGAAAAAGTTTTTCGCCGCAGGAGAAAAAACATGATATGAAGAAAGTGCTGGACTACAGGTGGGAGGAGCTGCAGTTCCTGCAGGAGGAGCGGCGCCGGGTGGACAGCCTGCTGAAGCTGTGCGAGGCGGCCAAGCGCTGGGTGGCAGGTGACTCCATCCGACCTTTACCCACCAGGTGGCGGGGCGGGGAGGGCCTGATGGGAAGGTGCCCGCAGGTTGCTCTCCGAGGGCGGCTTCTGTAAAGCATTCATTTTAAGCAAAGTTGGACCTGGCGCCTGTTCTCTTTGGTATTTACCCCAGGCCTCTCTCTCTCTCTCTCTCCCTCTTTTAGTATATTTGTATTGATCTCAGAGTGGAACGGAGCGGGGAGTGAGAGAGAAACATCAATGGTGAGAGAGAGTCACTGATCGGCTGCCTCCTGCATGCCCCCCCCCCCCCCCCGGGATGGAACCCGCAACCCAGGCATGTGCCCTGACCAGGAATCAAACCATGACCTCCTGCTCCCCCCTCCCGGCCCCCCCCGTCTTCTGTCCCCCTCTTTCTGACTCCTGAAGTTCAGTGCCAGGCGTGTCTGGAAATGCCATGATTCCTCACGGACCTGAGGCCTCCGGGTCCCCAGCCCTCCGTGTCCTGGCGGGAGCACGACCTGCTGCTACTAGGCCGACGGAGGGAGAGCAGGGCGGCCGTAGCAAGGGGTGGGGTGAAAAGCAGCCTGTCCCCTCCTCGCCTCATCAGCGCCCCCACAGTCCAGTTCCCCGAGCAGGAGTCCGCCGGGCTCCCAGCGCCCCCACAGTGGCTGGGGTTCCACGTTCCAGGCCTCGGGCCCCGCTTCCCACGGGCCCATCCGCTGTCACATCCCACAGGCTGTGGCCCCGAGTGCCTTCTCTGCTCCCCCTGCCCCGTCCTGTGTGGGACACAAGGGGGGCCTTTCTTCAAACCGTCCTCTTCACCCAGAACGGACAGCGAGGTTTTATTTGTGTGAAAACTGATGCGCAAGAGGGGGCGGGTGTCTGGATTCTTATTGAGAAAAAAATGCCAGCGAGTGTGTTCCCCAGCCGGCGGCTCAGGGCTGAGAAGTCAGGGGTCAGTTCTGGTCAAGGGCACACGTCCAGGTTGTGGGCTCCATCCCCAGTGCGGGGGAGGGGGGTTCTGGGGTGGGGGGGCGCGAGTGTGCAGGAGGCAGCTGATCCATGATCCTCTTATTGATGTTTCCCTCTCCCTCTCCCTTCCTCTCTGAAGTCAATAAAAATATATATTTTTAAAAACCGAAGAAGAGCAGCGAGGGGGAGGGGGAGGGGGAGTCCCGCCGGGCGGGGTTCCCGTGTGACGTCCTCCTTGGTTCGCAGTGGACTGCGGAGAGATCGCCAAGAGACACGCGGAGGACCTGGGCGGGAAGCGCCTGAACGAGGCGGTGATGGCGCGGCTGTCCCCCACCTCCGGCGCCATGGAGAGGGTGACGCACTACAACCTGAGCGCCCGCGTCGGAGAAATGGCCGCGAGGGTGGACTCGCTCAAGGACAGCCACATCTTCCGGACCTTCTGGGCAGAGGCCGCCCGGGCGGAGGGCACGCAGGAGGAGGGGGAGGAGGAGGCGGGGTCGGGGCCGCTCCTGGACATGGAGGATGCCTATGCCGCCCTGTACCATCCCTGCCTCGCCAAGTTCAGGAAGCTGTACGAGGACCTGAAGGCCGGCGAGCTCACCTTCGGGGAAGTGCGCGCCATCTTCAGCGACTTCGTGGATAAATACGAGGACCTCGCTTCTGACCTCCGCGTCATGCGGGCCCTGGACCCCAGCGACCCAGGGAGTTGGATCCAGGAGCGAGTGGGGCAGGTCAGGGAGTACCATCACCTGCATCGGTCTGCCAGGGCGGCCAGGGTCATCTTGGAGGTCAAAGAGGCCTTGGGACTGACCGGGGACTTCAGTCTTCTCGACTTTGTACTAAGAATTGTGAGTTACTGGCCAGGGGCCCCTGGGCACGGGTGGGGCCCAGCTCCGGCGCCGGCAGCCCTGGCTCTGGCGTTGAAAGCCGGGATGGGAGCGTGCGGTTTGCCGTTCACCCGGTGCTGAGTGTGCGGGGCCGGCCTTGCCCTCGGCTGGGAGTGTGACCGCCTGCGTGGGGGTCAAGGGTGCGGGACCGGGCCGCGCGGCCCTCTCGCCGGCCGTGTGTGTGCAGAGCGGAGGCCGGGCTCCGAGCGGTGGGGCAGTGGGTCTGAGCGCCTGGGAAGTGGGTCTTCGGTTTCTGCTCTGTGAGGACGAGCGTTTAGGAGGCAGCGTGGGCCCCGCACGGCAGTGTGGGCAGGTGTGAGGAGGAGGGAGATCCAGCACGGGATTTGGAACATCTCTCTCCAGCAGCGGCGCTGGAGTGGGTCCCGGGTCTGGGCCCTCGCTTTTCTACCCACGAGCCAGGAGGAGGATCCGTGCTGGGCAGGTCTTGGCGAAGCTGCTTTGCAGAATGTCCGCACAGAGCAGGGGTGGTTATTACTGATCGGGGCCGGGCACAGCGCCCAGCTCTGGGATGAGACCCCCGTGCCCGTCTGCATCAGAGCAGCCGCACATCCGGGAGGTTCAGGTCCGAGTTCCTGCTCAGACTCGGGGCTCCAGGTGAGCGGCTCCGTCCAGCCCCCAGCAGAGCCTTGTCTTCCAGACCAACGCCTTCGAGAACTCTCGCGGTGAAAAACTGGGCCAGATCAACAAGCAGGTCATCCTTGCCATCAAGCTGCTGCGGGACCTGGACGAGGCCCGGTGCCAGTGTCTGCAGGAGCTGGTCCTGGCCATGGAGTTCGTCCACTGGGTCCGCGAGGCTGTCGAAGGTACGGTCGGGACTGGGGTTTGCAGGAGCCTGGGTGTCCCGATGGCACTGGGGTGACCGTCCCAAGCTGACTGGCTGGGGGAAGGACAGGGGTGCCGCCTGCATCCTTTAGCAGAGGTCCTCAAACTTTTTAAACGGGCCAGTTCCCTGTCCCTCAGACATTCCACACATGCACACTGCGGGCCCGGGACGAGTTGGCTGCTAAGCAGGGCAGGCAGCAGCAGCAAAAACACCCGGTGGGACGGATAAATGTTTTTGGCGGGCCGCATGTGGCCCGCGGGCTGTAGTTTGAGGACCCCTGCTAGGGCATGTGCTGTGGTGCTGTGGGTGGTTGCTGATAGAGTTTATATCAGATATTTCTCGTGCTCTGGTGCAAAAGCTGTGTCCTCCCCACGCTGTATGTTTGCTGTGGATAGCTGTGGGTCACTTTCTTCCTTTTTTTATATATAATTTTATTGATTTCAGAGAGGAAGGGAGAGAGAGACAGAGAAACATCAATGATGAGAGAGAATCATCATCGACTGCTTCCTGCACACCCCACACTGGGGATCAAACCCACAACCCGGACATGTGCCCTGACCGGGAATTGAACCCGTGACCACCTGGTTCATAGGTTGACAGTCAACCCCCGAGCCACACCGGCTGGGCAAGGGGGATCATTTTCTTAAAAACCTTGCCCTGCCCTGGCTGGTGCGGCTCAATTTGTTGGAGCATCGTTCCGTGCACCAAAAGGCTGCAGGTCCAATTCCTCGTCAGGGCGCACACCGAGGTTGCGAGCTCGAGCCCCTTTTGGGGCACATGTGGGAAGCAACCGATTGATGTTTCTCCCTCCCACTCTCCCTTCCTCTCTCTGTAAAATAAATTTTAAAAAGCGTATCCTCAGGCGAGAATTAAATAATTTTTTAAAAAAGGTGGTGACGGGGCGGGGATCAGATGGAGTCAGGCACACGCAGCCTCGGGCAGCGCCTTGCCCGCGGTTACTGAGGTCGCCCTGGTCTGCGGCTTCCAATCAGGAGCAGGTGGAGAGGTGCCTGGACTCTGGCGGAAAGCAGACAGCGGGTCAACCCCTGAACCCCTGGATGTCTACGCGTAGCTCCTCACAAGACTGTTGTCCACCGTGGGAGCTCGTGTCACCGTGGCATGGCCCCAGCTCACCTGTCCCCTCTCGCCCCAAGGGGTCAACGAGCTGAAGGTGTTTGTGGACCTGGCGTTCATCTTCGCGGGGGAGAATGACATGGACGTGGACCGCGTGGCCTGCTTCCACGACGCCGTCCAGGGCTACAGCTCTCTGCTCTACAAGCTGGACGCGAGCCAAGGTTTCCAGGAGCTCTCGGGACACCTGAAGGAGCTGTGGAAGGCACTGGACAATGACCCGCACCTGCCCAGTAAGCTGGTGAGTCTCGTTCCCAGCGCGCAGCTCCGCGGGACTCGGGCCGCGGCCGTGCACACCATCGCGCACCACGTGTTGAAGACGATGCTCGCAAAGTGTCTGTTCACATACGGAAACGCTTTCTCTAGTGCCTGTGTTACAAATCGGATACAAAACTGCTTGGAAATACAAGGGATTTCTATTAGGCAACCCCAGGCGGGACTCAAAATTCAATAAATCTAGGAGTTTTTTCATAGCAACATAAATTGATATTAAGTGAATTATATTATGCGAATGATGTTATCATAGCCACGTGGCCCTGGGCAGAAAAGAGGTCCCCACCGGGTCCGAGGAGACCCCTCTCCGTAACTGGCCTCCGGAGCAGACCTGTGGCCATGGCCGGGACAGCTGCCTCCCCCTGGGGGGGCAATGGAGTGAGCAGATGGGAGGGAGGTTCCTTCTCTGCTGGAGGCTCACATCTGAACAAAAGGCCTCTGAGGTCGTTTCCCCTCGATGCTTCTGGCTGGACGCGGGGACCCCAAGGACGTTTAGAATGGAAGCATCCCAGCCCTGTTAGAGCTGGCACCCCACCCCCAAGCTGGGGGTCCAGCAGGACAGTGTCTTTGTCCACCTGGCCCAGGGGCCGTCTGCACAGGTGGGGCCACAGGGAGAGAGGGCCCCGAGAAAGGCAGCCAGAGCTGCGCACCAGGAAGCGCCCCCACGCCTGGGCGGGGTGACCGCGCCCTGAGGAGGGAAAGAATGCGGTCCATGGCTGCTTTCTCGTCCATCCCACAGCGGGACTCCGCCCGGAACCTGGGGTGGCTGAAGACGGTGAAGGAGAGCCACGGCTCAGTGGAGCGCTCGTCCCTGACACTGGCCAGAGCCATCAACAGCAAGGGCACCTATGTGATCCAGGCGCCCGCCGAGGGCCAGCAGGTGAGCGCCCACTCCCTGGCACGCCCACACCACAGACATGCCCACTCCCTGGGCATGTCCACTCCTGGCCACGCCCACACCACGGCCCTCCCACCCCTGGGCACCCGATCACCTGACACGCCCACATTCTGACCACGCCCACATCATGGCCACACCCACACGCTGGGCATGCCTACTCCCTGAACACACCCACTTCCCCTGACCACCCAGACCCCAGACAGGGCTAGACAGGCTGCCTTCAATGGGGGTGGGTTTCTCCCTCCGGAAAACCACCCGCGACGCATCCCCTCCCACAGATCTCCCCAGACGCAGTTCTACGTTTACTCCTCCCCGAGAGCCACAAGGGCCGCCAGGAGCTGCGCAGTTACTCCCTGGAGGAGCTGAAGGAGCTGATGAACAAGCTGATGCTCATGTCGGGCAAGAAAGACCACAACAGTGCTGACGTGGAGGAGTTCTCCGAGGTGGGTCCGCTTCCGGCCAGCCCTGCGGTCCGGCTCCTCAGTCGGGGCTGGGGGACTCCCTGCTGAGTGTCCCCAGGACAGTCGGAAGGGTTTGGGTTTGGGAATGGAACCGGGACCTCCTGGTTCCTAGGTTGATGCTCAACCCCTGAGCCATTTGCACTTTTTGCACGATCGCCTGAGGAAGAGGTTCTGTAAGGGAGGAAGGCAGGCTCTGGGCTCGGCCCCGTCCTGGTCCCAGCCCTCTGCTCGGGGTCTGCCGCCGCTGCTGTCTGGGTGCAGCCGATAAGGCCCGCCTCCTGCTTCCCTTGGCGACAGGTGTTCTGCAACGTGCAGAGGCTGGTGCAGGCCTTCCTGAACCTGTACTCGGCCGGGAGCTTCCTGTTCCGGGCCTGGAAGGTGCAGGTGCACTGCGGCCAGCCCGAGCCTGTGCGCATGCACTTCCCGCTGCCGCTGCTGAAGCCGCTGCAAGGGCGCGCGCCCCTGGCCCCGCTGCTGGAGGCGCTGTGCCGGCGGATGGAGCGCTTCTCGGACCAGTGGGAGGCGGTCGTGGCGCAGCAGCGAGAGGAACACTTTTACCTCAACTACTACACGGCCGAGCAGCTGGTGCGCCTGAGTGCGGAGCTGGCGCGGCCGACGCCCGGGGCCACCGCCCTGGCCATGCTGTCCTTCATCAAACGCCAGTGCACCCCGCGGGACGTCGCGGAGGCCTTCAGGGACCCCCATGGCGACGGCGGGGCCGCCACGCACAAGCTGCAGACAGTGATGGAGAGATTGCCCATCCTGCTCCTCAGCGAGCCCAGTCTGGTGGACAAGCTGGGGGTCATCATGGAACAGTTCCTGGGGTGCATGCGTGCCTTCCTGCCTCACTGCCTGGACCTCGAGGCCCTGGGCCGTGGCCTGGCGCGCCTGGCGGCCAGGGGTGGGCCCCCCGTGACGCGGAGGCTCCCCAAAGGCCTGCGGGCCGGCCAGCCCAACCTCATCGTCTGCGGCCACTCGGACGTGCTGCCGGCCGCCCTGGCCATCTACATGCAGAGCCCGGAGCAGCCGCTGCCCACCTACGACGAGGTGCTGCTGTGCGCGCCGGGCACCGCGTTCGAGGAGGTGGCGCTGCTGCTGCGCCGCTGCCTGAGCCCGGGCGCCCCCGGCCGCCGCGTGTACAGCCTGCTGTTCGCCGACCAGCTGGGCTACGAGGTGGCCCGCCGGGCGGAGGCGCTGCTCCAGGCCCTGCGCACCGGGCCGCACCGGGAGGACTTCCAGCTCGTCCTGGTCTGCGACAGCGAGCGGGAGCACTGCTACCTGCCCTCGGCCTTCAGCCAGCACAGGGTCCCCGCCACCCCCCAGGTGCTCCCCGAGGCCGCCCGAGCCTACCTGGCGCATCACTACCAGGTCCCCCGGGGGACCCCGTCGGCCGCCGCCGCCTTCAGGGACCGGATGTGTGTGGGGATCGTGGCCTCGGCGAGAGCGGGTGTCGGTAATGGCAGTGGCTGGGGGGACAGCTCTCCCCTGTCCCCTGGGGTGGAGGGGATGCTGACGAAGCCCTCCCATAAGAAGGGAACTGAGGCTCGGGGACGGGAAGTTGCCAATTAGAGCCGAACCGTAGGGGACACTCGTGGTTCCTGGAGCCAACCACCTTCCTTCTCTAAACAGCCTTCTCCTGTTTGCTTGTTTTCCAGTGACTTTTTAGAGAGAGTGGAAAGGAGGGAGATCGAGAGAGAGGAATGTCGATGTGAGAGAGACACATGGATTGGTTGCCTCCCGCACGCCCTGACCAGGGCCGGGAATCAAACCTGCAGCCCAGGTACGAGCCCTTGATTGGGAATCGAGCCCGAGACCCTTTGGTGCACAGGTCTGTGCTCCAACCGCTGAGCCACACCAGCAGGGCTCCTGTTTGTTTTGTTTTTATTATTATTTTTTTAAATCTGTTTTTATTGGTTTCAGAGAGGAAGGGAGAGGGAGAGAGAGAGAGAAACATCATTGTTGAGAGAGAATCACTGGTTGGGTGCCTCCTGCACACCCCCTGCTGGGGATCAAGCCCACAACCCGGGACCCTTCAGTCCTCAGGCTGACGCCCTATCCACTGAGCCACACCGGCAGGGCTCCTGTTGGTTTTGTGTTTGCCCTGCGTTGGCCGCTTCGGGGTTGATGTGGGTGAGCAGGGGGAGATAAGATCTGTCTAGAAAGGGCGCAGGTGCCTCTTATCCTCCCTTCAGTCCCTGCCCCGTTTCCGCCCCAGTGACTTGATCCCAGTCCAGGTCCTGCTCGTCCCCTCTGCATGCAGGGCACGCTCACCTGGTGCCACTGGTCCCGGGAAACGGGGGGCGTGAGCAGGAAACTGAGGAAACCGAGGGCTCCTTCGCCCCAGGTCACGTGGCATCGGTTTGAGCTGTGCACGCAGAGAAGGGGCTTGCACTAAATCTCTCTGGACCCTCTGTTCCTTGGCCCGCAGCCCAGGCACCTGATTTCCACGTGTTAATATTTGTTACAGGAAAGTCTCTCTACGTGAAGCGATTGCACGAAACTCTGCAAAGGAAGTTTCCTAGGAAGGAAGTGCCTCTCAAAGTAATTCGCTTGATGGACCCACAGGTGGATGAGAGCCAGGTCCTGGGCGCCCTGCTGCCCTTCCTGGACCCCAAGTGTCAGACGAGCCCCGCGATGTTCCACCTGGACGTGACCTCCTCGGTGAGAGCCTGGGTGCCGCCAGTGGCCACGGCGGGAAAGACACGGTGGCTCCTCCGCCCGTCCCATCATAAAAAAGTTCTTTATCGCCTGGCTGGTGTGGCTCAGGGGTTGAGCGTCCACCTATGAACCAGGAGGTCAGGGTTCGATTCCCAGTCAGGCACACACCCGGGTTGTGAGCTCCATCCCAGTGGGGGTGTGCAGGAGGCAGCCAATTCATGATTCTCCCTCATCATTGATGTTTCTCTCTCCCCCCCTCCCTCTCTCTAAAATAAAAAAACCCACATATTAAAAAAAAAGAAAGAAAGAATTTCTTTAGCATGACTTGATATTCAGTCCCATCGTGTCCAAGAACAGACTAAGAAGGTCCTCAGGGCAGGGACTGGTCTTTTGGGTAAATATATAAATATTTTTTAATATATTTTTATTGATTTCAGAGAGGGAGAGGTGTAGAGAGAGAAACATCAGTGATAAGAGAGAATCATTGACTGGCTGCCTCCTGCACATCTCCCACTGGGGATCAAGCCCACAACCCGGGCGTGTGCCCCCAACTGGGATTGAACCTGAAACCCCTCAGTCTGCAGGCCGACGCTCTATCCACTGAGCCAACCAGCCAGGGCTTCCAGGTAAATACTGACAGCGTGTGTTTCTCTCTCCAGGTGCAAGCTGGGGTCTGGACGTTTCTCTTCAAGCTCCTGGTGCTGCAGCACTTAATGGACTCAAACGGGAAAATGTGGCTCCGGAGCCCGAGCCACTTATACGTCATCGAAATCCTGGAAGGGCACTCGGCACCGCCTACGAGGCCTTCCAAGCTGGTGCGCCCCGGCCTGTCCCGTGGGGGGGGGGGGGGGGGGGGGGGCGCGTTCCTACTGACAGGCTCGCCATCCCCCGCCTCGGCCTTAGTGAGGCAGCCGAGTGCAGGGTTAGACAAGAACAATCCGTCTCTAAACTTACTTTGTTTTAAATGCCTGGAAAGGAGGTTTTTTTATATCCTCACCCGAGGATATGTTCTTATTTATTTTATTTTATTTTTTTAATATATTTTTATTGATTTCAGAGAAGAAGGGAGGGGGAGAGAGGGATAGAAACGTCAATGATGAGAGAAAATCATTGATCAGCTGCCTCCTGCATGCCCCCGACTGGGGATGGAGCCCGCAACCCGGGCCTGTGCCCTAACTGGGAATCGAACCCTGACCTCTTGGTTCATAGGTTGGCGCTCAACCCCTGTGCCACGCCGGTTGGGCATTTTTGTTGATATTAGAGAGAGAGGAAGAGAGAGAGAGAGAAACATTGATGTGAGAGAGAAACATGGATCGGTTGCCTCCCACACACACCCCAACTGCAGTCAAACCCACAACCTGGCTATGTGCCCTGACCGGGAATCGAACCTGCAACCTTTCGGTGCACGGGATGACATTCAACCCACTGAGCCACAGCGGCCAGGGCCGTCACATCAGTTTCTTAGCAAAAGGGAGTTCGATGCTCACACACTCGAGCTTTGGCCTCGGGAGCTCAGGTGAAAGCGCCTCCGGGAGGGACGGCAGCTCCCACAGAGCCTGGGGGTGCGGGGCAGCCACCTGTGCCGGGGCGTCTGCAGACATCGCTTCCTGAAACGTGGTTTTTCACGAAGGCCTGTCCGGTAGAGACCACGCGGAAGCCTCACACACCAAAAGCATGGTGTGTTTTTGTTTGTGTTTTTTTTTTCTTTTTTTTTTAATTAAATCTTTATTGTTCAGATTATTACATTTGTTCCTCTTTTTTTCCCCCCCATAACTCCCCTCCTCCCAGTTCCCGCCCCACCCTCCGCCCTCACTCCCCACCCACTGTCCTCATCCATAGGTGCACGATTTTTGTCCAGTCTCTTCCCGCATCTCCCACACCCCTTTCCCCCCCAGGAATAGTCAGTCCATTCCCTTTCTATGTCCCTGATTGTATTATAATCACCAGTTCATTCTGTTCATCAGATTATTTATTCACTTGATTCTTAGATTCACTTGTTGATAGATGCATATTTGTTGTTCATAATTTGTATCTTTACCTTTTTCTTCCTCTTCCCCTTCTTAAAGGATACCTTTCAGCATTTCATATAATCCTGGTTTGGTGGTGATGAACTCCTTTAGCTTTTCCTTATCTGTGAAGCTCTTTATCTGACCGTCAGTTCTGAATGATAGCTTTGCTGGATAAAGTAATCTTGGTTGTAGGTTCTTGGTATTCATCACTTTGAATATTTCTTGCCACTCCCTTCTGGCCTGCAAAGTTTCTGTTGAGAAATCAGCTGACAGTCGTATGGGTACTCCCTTGTAGGTAACTGAGTTTCTTTCTCTTGCTGTTTTTAAGATTCTCTCTTTATCTTTTGCTCTTGGCATTTTAATGATGATGTGTCTTGGTGTGGTCCTCTTTGGATTCCTTTTGTTTGGGGTTCTCCGCGCTTCTTGGACCTGTAAGTCCATTTCTTTCACCAGGTGGGGGAAGTTTTCTGTCATTATTTCTTCAAATAGGTTTTCAATATCTTGCTCTCTCTCATCCTCTGGCACCCCTATAATTCTGATGTTGGTACGCTTGAAGCTGTCCCAGAGGCTCCTTACACTATCCTCGCATTTTTGGATTCTTTTTTCATTTTGCTTTTCCGGTTGGGTGTTTTTTGCTTCCTCGCATTTCAAATCATTGACTTGATTCTTGCGCTCCTCTGGTCTGCTGTCGGGAGTCTGTATAATATTCGTTATTTCAGTCCGTGTATGCTTAATTTCTAGTTGGTTCCCCAATATAACATCGAGGGTCTCATTAGTTTTCTTGTAGATCTCATTAAGTTTATCGGCGGCTTCTAAACAGTTCTTGAGAGACCTTAAAAGTGTGGTTCTGAACTCTATATCTTCCATTGACAATTTTGTCCTGTTTCTTTGTCTCCGCATTTTGTTATGCTTCCTTGGTGCACCCCCTAGTGGTCTTTGTTCGCAGTCTTATAGTTAAACCTTGATTGTTGTAGCTAATTCCAGGGAGGGTTTGACCTCCAGGCCAAGTGGCTATGAGAATCAGCTGTGTCAGCAGTGAGAGAACTTCTGTCCTCTAGGGAGGTGCTAATCTGGCGTTTGCCTGAGGCTATCCGGCAAATGCCTGTGTGCAGGGCTTGGGCGGGGCGGGTCACACAGGATCAACAGGGTGGGCCGGAGAGAGCAGTTATGGCGGCTCTCAGTCCTGTCCCCAGGGGCTCTGCCTCTCTGAGTCCCAGCACCCGCTGCAAAGCTCAGAGACAAAGCTGCACTCGCTCTGACCGAAGCCAGACAGCCCCGCTTCTCCCGTTTGAGTCTGGGTCCCTAAAGACTCGCCCGGATCTGGAGCTCAGAGTCTGCGACTCCCTCCCGATTGAAAACGCCAACCGCGCCCTCCGCCGCCAGCCCGCTCCGCGCACTCCGCACCTCAGAATTTGACTTCAGCACTGCGCCTCCTCTGAGTGTCCGTATGCGTTTCTCTTTCCTCCTAGTTGTAGGACTTCCACTCAGCCAGCGTTCCTGTGGTTCTGGGTGATGTCCCTTTCGTTTTTTGGTTTCACTTTTAAAGTAGTTGTTCAAAGCAGCAAACTCCGGCGTTAACCTATGCCGCCATCTTGGTTCTCCCCTGTTTGTGTTTTTTAAAAATATATTTTTTAATGGATTTCAGAGAGAAACATCAATGATGAGAGAATCATGGATCGGCTGCCTCCTGCGTGCCGCACACTGGGGATGGAGCCCACACCCCGGGCCTGTGCCCTGACCAGGAATCAAACCGGTGACCTCCTGGTTCATTGGTCAACGCTCAAACCCTGAGCCATGCCTGCCAGGCAAAAGCATGTTTGGGAAATCTGGTTCGTAACCCTTTCCTTCACCTTCTCCTTCCCAGAGGACACGCGCCCCCCAGTTTAGTCTGCTGGACGTCTTCCCCAAGGTCACCTGCCGGCCCCCCAAAGAAGTGATGGAAATGGAGCTGAGCCCCGAGCAGCACTGCAGGGAGCCGGGCATGGACCCCGCCGAGTTCTGCAGCGAAACCTTCCAAAGACCTTTCCAGTATCTGAAGCGGTTCCATCAGAGTCAGAACCTGGACATGTTCCAGTACCAGAAGGGCCAGGTGGAGGGCACCCCCCAGGAGTGCCTGCAGCACCTGCTCTTGTACTGCGGAGTGCTCGACCCGTCCTGGGCGGAGCTGCGCAACTTCGCCCGCTTCCTCAACTGCCAGCTCAGGGACTGCGAGGCCTCCATCTTCTGCGACCCCGTGGCGGTCGGGGACACGCTGCAGGGCTTCAAGAACTTCGTGGTGACCTTCATGATCTGCATGGCGAGAGACTTCGCCACCCCGACGCTGCGCATGTCGGACCAGAGCCCCGGGAAGCACGCGGTCGCCATGGACGGGGTCACCGAGGAGGACATCGCCCCGTTCTCTCTCCGCCGGAGATGGGAGTCGGAGCCCCACCCGTACCTGTTCTTCAACGGGGACCGCATCTCCATGACCTTCATCGGCTTCCACCTGGAGCCCACTGAGAAGGGCACCTTCGACGCCGTGGACCCCGTGAACAAGAGGGTGATCAAGAGGGACGTGCTGACGAAGGAGCTGTACCAGGCGCTGCTGCTGCAGGGCGTGCCCTTCAACGTGGACTTCGACGCGCTGCCCCGGCATGAGAAACTGGAGCGGCTCTGCCTGGCGCTGGGCGTCCAGTGGCCGGTGGACCCCGACGAAACCTACGAGCTCACGACGGACAACATGCTGAAGATCCTGGCCGTGGAGATGCGCTTCCGCTGCGGGATCCCCGTCATCGTCATGGGGGAGACGGGCTGCGGGAAGACCCGGCTCATCCGCTTCCTCAGCGAGCTGCGGCGCGGGGGCGCCGACGCCGAGACCCTGCAGCTGGTCAAGGTCCATGGCGGCACGAGCGCAGACATGATCTACGGCAAAGTCCTGGCAGCGGAAGCCCTCGCCCAGCTCAACAGCAGTGAACACGGGCTGGACACTGTCCTGTTCTTCGACGAGGCCAACACCACGGGCGCCATCAGCTGCATCAAGGAGGTGCTGTGCGACCGCACGGTGGGCGGCCAGCCGCTGGCCGAGGACTCGGGCCTGCACGTCATCGCGGCCTGCAACCCCTACCGGAAGCACTCCCCGGAGATGATCGCCCGCCTGGAGGCGGCCGGGCTGGGCTACCGGGTGCGCGCGGAGGACACGGCGGACCGGCTGGGCTCCATCCCGCTGCGGCAGCTGGTGTACCGCGTGCACGCGCTGCCGCCCAGCCTGGTGCCCCTGGTGTGGGACTTCGGGCAGCTGAACAACACCACGGAGAGGAAGTACATCCAGCAGATCGTGCGGAGGCTGGTGGGCGACACCCCCATCGGCCCCGGCGACGCGCGCGTCATCGCCGACGTGCTCTACGCCTCCCAGTGCTTCATGCGGAGACGGGAGAACGAGTGCAGCTTCGTCAGCCTGCGGGACGTGGAGCGCTGCGTGCGCGTCTTCCGCTGGTTCTACGACCACAGCGCGATGCTCCTGTCCAAGCTGCCCGCCTTCCACGGCGGGCCCGGCGGCGACAGCCCCGATGACTCCGACGCCGATTCAGACGCTGACTCCGACGCCGAGAGAGGCCCGGTGCTCTGGGCGCTGGTGCTGGCCGCCGGGGTGTGCTACCACGCCTCCCTGGAGAAGCAGGACGCCTACCGCCGAGCCATCTGTGCGCTCCTCCCGCCGCCCTACGACAGCAGCAAGGCCGTGCTGGACGCCATCACGCGGACACAGGACCTCTTCCTGGAGGGCGTGTCTCTGAGGAAAACCGTCGCCAAGAATCTGGCCTTGAAGGAGAACGTCTTCATGATGGCCGTCTGCATCGAGCTGAAGATCCCGCTCTTCCTGGTGGGCAAGCCCGGCAGCTCTAAATCTCTCGCCAAGACCATCGTGGCGGACGCCATGCAAGGCCCGGCCGCCCCCTCGGAGCTCTTCCGGAGCCTGAAGCAGGTCTACCTGGTGTCGTTCCAGTGCAGCCCGCACTCCACCCCGCAGGGCATCGTGGGCACCTTCAAGCACTGCGCCCGCCTGCAGCAGGGCCGGGACCTGGAGCAGTACGTCTCCGTGGTGGTGCTGGATGAGGTGGGCCTGGCCGAGGACTCTCCCCAGATGCCCCTCAAGGCCCTGCACCCGCTGCTGGAAGACGGGTGCATCGAAGACGACCCCGCCCCCCACAAGAAGGTGGGCTTCATCGGCATCTCCAACTGGGCCCTGGACCCCGCCAAGATGAACCGGGGCATTTTCGTGTCCCGCGGCAGCCCCAACCAGAGGGAGCTCATCGAGAGCGCCCGGGGGATCTGCGCGTCCGAGCCCCTCGTGCAAGAGAGAATCCAAGCGTACTTCCGGCCCTTGGCCAGCGCGTACAAGGCGGTGTGTGCGAAGCAGGACAAGGAGTTCTTCGGGCTCCGAGACTACTACAGCCTCATCAAAATGGTCTTCGCCGCCGCCCAGGCCTCCAACAGGAGGCTCTCCCCCCGCGACATCGCGCAGGCCGTGCTCCGGAACTTCAGTGGCAAAGACGAGATCCAGGCCCTGGACATCTTCGCTGCCCACCTGCCCGAGGCGAAGCTCCCCGAGGAGGTCAGCACCCTGCAGCTGATCCAGCAGAACCTGTACCGCGACCCCCGGAGGGCGCCGGGCGCGGGGCCGGGAGACCCCGAGTCCCGCTACCTGCTGCTGCTGACCAGGAACTACGTGGCCCTGCAGATCCTGCAGCGGACGCTCTTCGCCGAGGACCAGCAGCCCGAGATCATCTTCGGGTCCAGCTTCCCGCGGGACCAGGAGTACACGCAGATCTGCAGGAACATCAACCGCGTGAAGATCTGCATGGAGACGGGCAGGATGGTGGTGCTGCTCAACCTGCAGAACCTCTACGAGAGCCTCTACGACGCCCTCAACCAGTACTACGTCTACCTCGGGGGCCAGAAGTACGTGGACCTGGGCCTGGGGACCCACCGGGTCAAGTGCCGGGTGCACCCCGACTTCCGCCTCATCGTCATCGAGGAGAAGGACGTCGTCTGCCAGCAATTCCCCATCCCCCTCATCAACCGGCTGGAGAAGCACTACCTGGACCTCCACACGGTCCTGGAGACGTGGCAGCGGGACCTCGTGCAGGAGCTCAAGGCCTGGGTGGACCAGTTCGTCGCCGTCAAGGCGGCGCAGGGCCAGGCCCGCTACAGCCCCTCAGACGTCTTCGTCGGCTACCACGCGGACGCCTGTGCCTCGGTGGTGCTCCAGGTCATCGAGCGCCTTGGGCCCGGGGCCCTGAGCCACGAGTGTTACCAGAAGGTCCTGGAGGACGCCAAGCTGGTGCTGCTGGACTGCGCCACGCCCGACGCCATCGTCCGACTCAGCGCGTCCGCGCTAGGCCAGTGTGCCGCGCAGGCCCTGTCGCGAGAATACTATTCCAGGCAGCAGCACGACTCGTTCGCGGACTTCCTGCAGGCTCACCTCCACGGGCCGGGCCCGGAGCGCCGCCCCGTCTTCACGGAGGTGAGCATCTCCCCGCGCTGTCACCCTCACCACCTTCCACCTCAGAGTCCTTGGTCCCTGGAGTCAAAAAGGCAGGTTCTTCTCCAGTAGATTCCAGTCCGGGTCTAGGAGTCAGAGAGGGATAGGTTGAGACTTTTAAAAAGAAAATGTTTATTGATCTCAGAGCGGAAGGGAGAGGGACAGGGAGATAGAAACATCCATGATGAGAGACAATCACTGATCAGCTGCCTCCTGCAGGCCCCACACTGGGGATCGAGCCCCCAACCTGGGCCTGTGCCCTGACGGGAATGGAACCGTGACCTCCTGGTTCCTAGGTCAGCTCTCAACCACTGAGCACCCGGCCGGCTGGGCCAGGCAGGGTCTTTAAGAGCGGGCCCCACAGGGACTGGGAAGTGCGGTTGGGAAAGTATCAGTCGGAGGTGTCAGGGCGAGAGACAGCAGAGCCCATGCAGGAGGCCAGGAGGGGCCAGGACGGAGCCTCGCGCGCAAAGCCGGGAGTGCCGCGAGGCGGGGTGGGCGACCCAGAGAGGCTCCTGAGAGCTCGGTCTTCCCTGTGGAGGGACGGTGGAGAGGTGCTGAGACTCATGGAACAGGCACACCAGCGTGGAGGCTGCTGCGAGCCTTCCAAGGAAATGAGGCGGGTGGAGAGGAGGAGTGAGGAGACACTGGCAGAGTGAACACCGGGCCCGTATCAGGGCCGCGGAGATGGAGGGGTCTGGGATGAGTCCCGAGCTGTTCCTTGGGTGGCTGGAGGCCCAGCCATCACAACAGAGGATCCTGGACCGAGCAGCGAGTTTTGGGGGGCGGGACGGGGGTGGTAAATTCCACTTGGCGCCCCTGTCAACCCTGGAGGATGTGACTGTCATGCCGTTGGATGTCGGAATCGGAAGCTCAGTGGGAAGGCCAGCCTGGGCGGGGGTTCGGCAGCTGCCCGGTGAGCACGCCCATCAGGAGTGCCTGCTTGCACCGCACGGTGTGACCGGTGGCGGCGGCGGCGAACGCCATCTGACAGTGGGAAGCAGGGGCGCCAGGGAGGAAACGCCACTTGTGCTGAGCCCTCAGGGACAGTTAGACTTTCCAGTAGGGACCAAAGCAGGAGAGACGCCCGAGTCTGGGAAGGAGACTCCGTCTTCGGGGCAGGGTGTCTTCCCTCCACTGCCTCTGGTCCTGGGTTCTGTTCCGCTCAGCACTGCCTCGTTTTAAAAACCCTGCGTGTGGGTTCTGTCTGTCTGGCCCGTAGCAGGCACTGGCTGACCATCCCGCGTTTCCGGGATCTGACCCCCGGAGATGTACAAATCATCTGTTCCCTGACCCCCAGGTCACCACTTTCTCCAGACTGCTCACCAGCCACGACGGCGAGATGCTGGGGTCGGAAGTGAACGGCAGGGCCCTGAACCCCACCATCCTGTCGCTGCAGCAGTTTGACACCGAGCACTCATTCCTCAAAGAAGTTCGGTGAGGCCCCTGCCTTCCCTCCTCTGGGCTCCGTCCTCTGCCCTGGCCATGTCCTAGGTCGTTTGTGTGGCTGGAGTGACCACGGTGCTGTCACCAGTGTTGGGTAACGACCGTGAGGACCCGGGACTCGGGAAAAGACACTTGTTGAACCCTCCAGGGTCCCTGTCACCGCTGTTGTCTTCTGGGCGGGCGTCCTGCTCTGAATCCTGGTCCTTGGTCTCATCAGGCAGCGTCTCCTGGGGTTTATTCTTTCCCCGCTGGGTTCCCACTCACTTTGTGGAAGAGAATCCCACCTGAATAGTTTCGTAGTAGCCCTTATAGTTCCCATCGCGGGGGAGAGGGGAGGGGGCTTTCTCACCCGCTCGGGATGGAGAGGTGACGTGTGTAATTCCTCTTGTTTTCAGAAACTGCTTGACGAGCACGGCCGCACGGAAGATCCTCATCATCCAGACGGACTTCGAGGACGGCGCCCGCAGTGCGCAGCTCATCGCCTCGGCTAAGTACGCTGCGGTTCTTTTTTTCTTGGCGCCTCAAGGATTTCTTCCCTGAAGACAGTACAGGGTCACAGTACACATAGAAATGAAAATAAAACCGGCCCTCCCTTCCCATCTCCCCCATGGCGGGCTAGAGAGACGGAAGAAAGAGAAGCGAAAGAGAGGCCAGGCTGCGAGCAGCACCCGCGTGGAGACCGCAGGGAGGGGCAGTGCTCGGCCCTCAGGGTGTGAGAGAAAGTCTGGAGGCAGCTCCGCAGGCCTGGTCTGGTCATGATTAGTTTTAAACGATACGATTTGACTGATTGCAAGGTCAAGGGCAGGACCAGGACGTAAGTGATTTCATCTGCATTTCTTGGATTGGTTAATAGTGTTTGTCAGGGACACGCGAGGCTTTCAGAACCGTGTTCCCTGTCCCTCGTGTCATGGCTCTCTCTGGCCCCTGGCTCTCTGTCCCCGGAACCTTGCTTCTGGGAATGCAAAGTCCCGCTGGCCTTGCCCTCAGGGTTAGGGAAGCCGTTGCGGAGCCCAGGGGAGGGTTCTGATCTGTAAGAAATGCCTCTTCCACCCGAGGGACACAGGGACGGGAGCGAAAATGCGCCTCTTAGAGGGAGCGGGCCTACACTCTCGCAGAAGAGGGATAACCACAAGGGCCCACATTTATTTAAAACTGAAAGAAGGCCGCCGGCCGGCGCGGCTCGGCTTGAGCACCAACCTATGAACCCGGAGGTCCGGGTTCGATTCCCGGTCAGGGCACACGCCCGGGTTGTGGGCTGGATCCCCAGTGGTGCGGGGTGTGCAGGAGGCAGCCGATCCATGATTCTCTCTCATCATGGATGTTTCTCTCTCTCCCTCTACCTTCCTCTCTGAAACCAATACAAATATTTTATAAAAAAAAGCTGAAAGAAGGGAGACCCTGAGCTCGAACCTGCCAGCTCCTGGGACCCTCCAGCCACCGCCCAGCTTCAGTTCTGTGCACTGGCTTTGTTTTCGCGTCGATTTGTGGCATTTGTTTGTTTGTTAATTTATTTTGGTTTTGCTTATTTGTTTTAAAAAATAGGTATTCTGCCATCAATGAAATCAACAAGATACAAGGAAATAAGGCCTGCATCTTTGTCTATTTCATCACGAAGCTGTCCCGGATGGAAAGTGACGCATCCTACGTGGGGTTCCATGGAGGTAGGACACGTGTCGGTGACTGCGGTGACGTGAGGCCCACGGAGTTCTTTCTCGCGGGGCCTCCGGGGTGCAGGTCTGAACTAGAACATTAGTGTTGGTCTCAACAGTGTTCATTTCAGATGCAATTGGATTTGTTGCCGCTGATTCCTGCTAAGAACACCCACCTTCAGACTCGCTGCTCAGCACATAGCACTTCCTTTATTAACTTGCAGATAAACTCTGCATCGGAGTCCCGGGCTCCTCACCGTTTAGTTTTTTATTTTTATATTTTTGGTTGATCCTCATCCAAGGATATGTTTTTCCAATTAACTTCTAGAGAGAGTAGAAGGGAGAGAGGGAGAGAGAGAAAAACATCAAGTGAGAGAGACACATCGATTAGTGCCGGCCTGGACCCCGGGGCCGGGGATCAGACTGTGCCCTTGACCAGGAATCGAACCCCACGGTCCTCGTCCAATGCTCTAACCACTGAACGACCGGCCAGGGCCTCAGCGTGTTTATATGGGAAACACAGAGAAGGCATTCCCCATGCACCGGTGAGGGACACACTGATACTTTATACCTGCTTTTTCTGAGGGGGGCCGGTGCTATCTTACATCACCCCTCTCGCTCCCTCCCTCACTCCCCAAGTATTTTCTAGCTGAGAAAGTGGGCATTCTAGAACCGGCACAGACCTTTAATCCCACAGGCAGCGGAGAGGGCCAGCCGTGCTCGCCGCGCAGACTGCACCGCGCCGGCCGCCTTCCCACGCGGTGCCTCCGGCTGGCACAGATGTCTGCTCAAGGAGCTGAAGATGCTAGCTGGGTCGGGAGGAATTTTATTCTATTTTTCTTTATTTAACTTTTAAAATAGGTTTTTATTGATTTCAGAGAGGGAGGGAGAGGGAGAGAGATAGAAACATCAGTGATGAGAGAGAATCATGGATCGGCTGCCTCCTGCAGGCCCCACACTGGAGCCCGCCACCCAGGCCTGTGCCCTCACCGGGCATCAAACCGTGACCTCCAGGTTCATGGGTCGACGCTCAACCACTGAGCCACGCTGGCCGGGCTGGGTCAGGGGTTTAGACTCCAGGACACGAGTGGCTCCCTCAGGGCTGTGTTGGCTGCAGGATGGGGCCTGTCCCTGCTTCCGGCTCAGGGCGCGCAGAGACAGGTGGCTTTGCCTCCGCAGGGCTGTGGCGGTCCGTGCACATCGACGACCTGCGGAGATCCACGACCATGGTTGCCGACGTGACACAGCTGCAGGACGTGACCATCAGCCAGCTGTTTGACCCCCAGTGTACGTCCCGGGATGCCCTGGGCGCACGGCGGCCGGCCGTGTCCGGAGTGCTGGGGCAGGCGAGCCGTGGGAGGCCCCGTGGCAGGCAGTTTCCCCGAGAGACGGTGGGTCTGTGGGTGCGGAAGGCGCAGCGGTGAGCGCCCGTGGTCGATGGCACTTAGTGTCCTGGCATCGGCCTCAGCGCTTGGGACCCAAGAGAGGCTTCCCGCTGGAGAACCCCGGGGTGGCCCCAAGGCTGAGCTGCGTGCCTGGGCCTCCCCTCGGGTTCTTGCTGCCGCCGGGAGCCAGGGACGCAGCTCGCGGGCATGGCGCCGGCGCTGGGCGGCCAGTGGCCTGACGGGGTTGCTTCCGCAGCAGCTGAGGTGGGACGCGAGGCGAGGAGCGAGCAGGAGGAGGCGATGGAAATGGACACAGACGAATCCGGGGCCACGGCCGTGGGGGGCATGGAGATGGACCGTCCCGAGGCCCCTAGAGGCCACGTGAGTGCAGCTGTCGCTCCCTGGGCCTCCGGGAGCTGCGGCAGGTCGGCCCGGAGCTCTTCCCTCCCTCCTGTGCCTGCGACGACACCCAGGACAGGGTCCCACGTGGCTCTTCCTTGTCTCCCGCCGAGTCCTGAGCACACGTGACCCCTCGCAGGGTTTCGGAGGGGAGTCGGGCAGGGGACGGGGCCGGGGACCGTGGCCCGGAGGCGCCCCCCGGGCCCGGGACCAGCCGGCCTCGCCGGCGCCATGGCTGACGGCAGCTCCGTCGTGTCCGCACAGAGGCCGGCGCTGGACTGCGGCAGCCTCCTGCGCAGCTGCATCCAGAGCGCGGTGGCCCTGCTGCGGGACCCGGACGGGCACGGCCAGCGCAACGTGCGGCGCGTGGAGATCCTGCTCGGCCTCCTGGGCGAGGACGCGGGCGACGCGTGCAAAGGTGAGCCCCTCCCACACCGAGCAGGCCCCCCCGGGGCTGCGGGCGGCCGCTCCGCTCCGGGGGGGTCCGGCGTGAGGCCAATGGCGTCCCTCTGCCGCCCTGCAGCCTCCTTCGCGCGGGCGGCCCAGGTGCGTCTCCACGACCTGCTGCAGCGGCAGGAGGAGAGCTGCGTGTTCGGCAGGAAGGACTGGGTGGTGCAGGAGGCCTCCAACCCCGACGCCCTGCAGGAGGCCGGCACCTTCAGGTACTGCCCAAAGCCCAGGGCTGCGAGCGGGCGGGCGGCGACAGGCCGGCAGGCGACAGGCCAGCAGGTCACCAGTGGGTCACAGTTCGACGGGTCACCAGTGGGTCACAGTTCGACGGGTCACCAGTGGCTCACAGTTCGGTGGGTCACCAGTGGGTCACAGTTCGGTGGGTCACCAGTGGGTCACAGTTCGACGGGTCACCAGTGGGTCACAGTTCGACGGGTCACCAGTGGGTCACAGTTCGGTGGGTCACCAGTGGGTCACAGTTCGACGGGTCACCAGTGGGTCACAGTTCGACGGGTCACCAGTGGGTCACAGTTCGACGGGTCACCAGTGGGTCACAGTTCGGTGGGTCACCAGTGGGTCACAGTTCGACGGGTCACCAGTGGGTCACAGTTCGACGGGTCACCAGTGGGTCACAGTTCGACGGGTCACCAGTGGGTCACAGTTCGACGGGTCACCAGTGGGTCACAGTTCGACGGGTCACCAGTGGGTCACAGTTCGGTGGGTCACAGGCCGGCAGGTCAGAGCTGCGCCTCTCACTTGTCCGGGCGAGGAGCCGAGGGCCAGGGCTACTTTATAAAACCGTAGCAGTCACATCTCGGATGCATTTTAAATTTAATTTTATTTGAATTTCACAAAAGAAAAAGAGAAGTTGATGGAGTCCCTGAGTTCATAGAAATGTTTCCTTTAGACAAGAGATGCGTCCCCGGAAACATCCCTTCAAGGTGAAAAGAGGAAACAGAGCGTTAAAGGCCGAAGCCGTGATTTTCCCAAGGGCTCTGTGTGGACAGCGGTCGGCAAGCCGCGGCTCGCGAGCCACACGTGGCTCTTTGGTCCCTTGAGTGTGTCTCTTCCACAAAATAGCACGTGCGGGCGCGCATGTACAGTGCGATTGAAACTTCGCGGCCCGTGCGCAGAAGTCGGTATTTTGTGGAAGAGCCACACTCAAGGGGCCAAAGAGCCGCATGTGGCTCGCGAGCCGCGGTTTGCCGACCACTGGTATAGACCGACTTCGTGCTGTGAAAGATGCGTTCGTGGGCCCAGCCGCACGGGCACGCGGTTCTGGAAATATTGCTGCCCTTCTGTACCGTTAGTACATGCCAGCCCGGGATGCTCCCCAGGGCCCCCCTCCCTCCTGGCTGCCTCCTCCCACCGCGGGCCCAGCCCAGCCCATCGCCCCGCACCCAGAGCCACAGGGGCAAGGGGACCCTGGCCCGTCCCGGGCGCCCTGGGCGAGCACCCTCCGCCTGCTCAGCTTCCCTGTTTGCAGAGTCGGTGGGGACCCGCTCACGGCCAGCCCTCAGGCCGGGCGAGCCCGGGTCCGGGATCTGGGTTTCAGACAGAGGCCTCCCCCAGCCCCAGCTCCTTGGGAAGTCGGGTCCCTCTGCCTCCTGGGGTCATGCCCTCGCGTCCTAATGGGCAGCGGACACAGGCCTGCGGGTGTGGAGGCGACCCCTGAGCCGGTCCGAATCGGAGGAGGCGGGAGGCACCGGGCCCCGGCTCAGGTGGAGGCGGCGGAGGGAGTGGGCTTTGCTCCGTGCCAGGTGCTCACGGCCTATCGCAGTGGTTCTCAACCTTCTGGCCCTTTAAATACAGTTCCTCATGTAGTGACCCCCAACCATAAAATTATTTTCGTTGCTACTTCAAAACTGTGATGTTGCTTCTGTTACAAATCGTCATGTAAATATCTGATATGCAGGATGGTCTTAGGCGACCCCTGTGAAAGGGTCGTTTGACCGCCAAAGGGATCGCGACCCACAGGTTGAGAACCGCTGATCTAGATCCTCTCCGATCCTGAGAGGTGTTCCTTGCTCACCTCCCTCCCTCCCTCCCGCTTCCTTCCGGACTTACTGAGCACCTGTCTGTGCCAGGGGCTGGGGCACCAAGGCAGAGCTCGCACCCCAAGACCTCCCGCCCCGTGAGAGCATCATCCAGAAAGCGGCTGTGTCCTGGAGGAGGGGTGCAGGGGACGCCCCGAGGGACTCAGGGGAGGTTCCCAGGGGACTTACAGCCGAACTGGGCCCTGAAGGATCAGGAAGGGCGTTCCCGGTGGAGGGAACTGCATGTGCGAGGGCGGGAGGCAGGACAGAGCCCTCCTGGTCGGAACTGGGGGGGCGTGGAGCCCAGGAAACCTGCTGGGTGAGGCTGGGGTCCCCGAGCCCCTACCTGGACCCTCTGCCTCCTCGACCTGCTTTGCTCCCAGCAGCCTGGCCAGGAAGAGGCCCGCCCACCTGCCCAAAAGGAGCCTGTGGCCTGGACAGGGAGTGAGGAGGAGGGCCCGTGGGTGTGTGTTTTGGGATTGCTTCTCAGGAATCTCCTCCTCCTCCTCCTCCTCCTCCTCCTCCTCCTCCTCCTCCTCCGACACCTTGGCAACCAGGCGACACCTTGGCAACCAGGCGCTGCTAGGGGAGCCGCCTGGAGCTGGGCTGGGGGAGGGACCTTGGTTGCCCCTCACTGAGCCTCAGTCTTGGCGTCTAGAATATGGGCAGGACGACCCAGCTGTCGGCTTATCAACCCAGGTGCCCCAGGAAGCGGAGGCCCAGGCTGGACTCATTGGGGGAAGGCCCAGGAGGGGAGGGCAGGGCCGGGGAGGCCTGCACCATCCTGCAGCCGGGGCTCCGCCAGGCAACGGGGGTCCCTGAGCCACGTGGCTGCGCTTCCCACCCAGCAGCTGCCTGCTGTGCCCACTGCACTCACTGCCCAGGAGCCCGGGGGAGCGGGAGGCAGGGGCCGAGGCACAGACATGGGGATGGGTCTCCCTGTGAGCCCCGCAGTGAGAGGTCTCGGGGTCCTAACCCAGCAGGAACAGGGGCTCTCCCCATTGTGGGGCCAGAATCTGAAATCAGGGTATCCGGGCTGGGCTCCCTGGGAGGGCTCCAGGGAGGGTCCCTCCTGCCTCTTCAGCTGCTGGGGGCTCCCGGGCTCCTTGGCTCCTGGCCGCATCCCTTCAATCTTCACGTGGCCCCTCCTCCGTCCTCACATGACTTCTCACGCGTGTTCATGTGGCCCCACCCCCATGTTAACGTAAAAAGCATTCAAACCTGTAAAGAATTTTTGTGCGTTTGAGCCAAACTGTTGACAGTTGCCGGGAAGCAGGATCTCAGCATATGGGAAATTCTCTGGAGAACGTTAGCTGCTCACCTTGTTTTATACAAACAATCCAACGTGTACAGCAAGACTCAGATCTAATGGACGCAGCCACGGGGACAAACTCTCCCTGGTGGCCGTGCGCTTCCCGCCGCGGTCCCTCTGACCCGATGCCGCCCTCTGCCCGCTGCAGGCACACCCTCTGGAAGCGGGTCCAGGGCGCGGTGACCCCTCTGCTGGCCAGCATGGTGGCCGTCATCGACAGGGACAGCAACCTGGAGCTGCTGGCCAGGCCCGACGCCCCGGCCTGGGTCCGAGAGCTGTGGATGTTCATTTTCAGTGACATCAACCTGCTGAACATCCCTCTCGTGACCAACGACGCCAGGTGAGCGGCGGCTTTCTTTCCGTGGGGGGAGAGCCCGCGCGTGGCGGCCGAGTGTCTGTCCCGCGTGGGTCGCACAGGCGCTGACTTCAGAGCCGCAGGTGGGCGCTCCTCGCAGCCGACAGGCTCCGGGAGCCGTGACTCTCAGGCCTCTGCCTCCTTCGCCACTGGTCACGGCAGGTGTCGCCAGCGCGTCTGCACAGAGGGTGCCCCGTGCCCCTTGCGCGTGGGGCCACTCAGCCCCGCCCAGGCCCACTCCTGCACGGCTCAGGCTTGGGACTCCCCAAAGCTTCCCGCTTGCACTACAGGGGCTTGGATCTGGGTGAACGGTTAACGAAGAGCGGAGCCGTGGGATTCAGGACCCCGGGGAGACACAGAGGGGACAGACACCGTTGGTCCCCAGACGGACCCTCTCCCAGTCGTGGCCCGGCCGCAGGGGGCACACGAGGTCCCGGCAGGCCCACATGACCCCTCTGCCCTGTTTGGGTCTCTGTTTGGGGGTGTCCGGAGCCCGGGCCCCCGGGGCGGAGAGGCCGGCTGCGGGGTGGCTCCTGTCGGCGTCTCAGCGCCGTCTCACATGCTGACTGCAGGTCCAACAGCGACATGGCCCACATCCTGGTGCAGAGCCACGCGCACCGCCCGGGGGAGGTCTGCGGCGCCATCCCGTTCAGCTGGCGGATCCGCGACTACGTGGAGGAGCTGTGGGTGCAGGCGCAGTACATCTCGGAGCCCGCAGGTGCCCGGGGCTGGTGGGGCTCCATCCTCACATGACTTCCCGGCGAGGGCCAGGGCTCGGGAGGGTCAGCGGCCACGCGAGCACAGGGCCTGCATCGGGCCGGCTGTCTGGGTGCCTCCTGAGCCCCCGGCGCCAGGCTGTGCTGTCACACACCGAGTGGTCCGCCGTCAGCGTTCCAGGAAAACCAGGATTCTCTTTTTTGTTTGTTTGTTTAATATATTTTATTGATTTTTTACAGAGAGGAAGGGAGAGGAATAGAGAGTTAAAAACATCGATGAGAAAGAAACATCGATCAGCTGCCTCCTACACACCCCCCATTGGGAATGTGCCCGCAACCAAGGTACATGCCCTTGACCAGAATCGAACCTGGGACCTTTCAGTCTGCAGGTGTACGTTCTATCCACTGAGCCACATCATTCAGGGCAGGATTCTCCTCTTAATGACCTGATCTTCTCTTTCCTTTTTCTTTTTAAATATATGTTTTTATTGATTTCAGAGAGGAAGGGAGAGGGAGGGAGGGAGAAACATCCATGAAGAGAATCATGGAACGCTGCCTCCTGCACGCCCCACGCTAGGGATTGAGCCCACAACCCGGGCATGTGCCCTGTCCGGGAATCGAACCGTGGCCTCCTGATTCATAGGTCTATGCTCAACCACCAGCCACACCAGCCAGGCTAAAATAATCTTTTCAAAGTTGACGTAAAAGTACTGCCTTTAAGAAATACAGATCAAGCCCTAGCTGGTTTGGCTCAGTGGGTAGAGTGTTGGCCTGCAGACCAAAGGGTCCCAGGTTCGATTCCGGTCAAGGGCACGTACCTGAGTTGCAGGCTCCTCCCTAGCCCAGGCCCTGGTCGGGGCTCCTGCAGGAGGCAACCAATTGATGTTTCTCTCGCATCAATGTTTCTCTCTGTCTTTCTCTCTCTCTTCCACCCTCCCTAAAATCAACGGAAAAATATCTTCAGGTGAGGATTAAGAATAAACAAATAAATAAGCAAATAAGAAATACAGACTGAGCCCTGGCCGGTTGCTCAGTGATTAGAGCATAGTCCATGGAATGAAGGGTCTCGGGTTCAATTCCTGGTCAAGGGCACGTACCTCAGCTGCAGGCCGATCCCTGGCCCCTGTTGGGCCTGTGGGAGGCAACCAGGATGTGACTCTTTCACATGGATGTTTCTCTGTCACTCTACCTCTCTCTCCACCCTTTCCCCTCGCTTTAAAAATATCCTCAGATGAGGATTAACAAAAACAAAACAAACAAAATGCAGCTGAGACACTTGAAGATGAGGTTACTTCCTGAGTAAGCACCTGCCACTCTTGCTGAGCAAACGGGAAGCAGGAAGGAGAAGGTCTCTGTTTGGGGGACACGCCCCTCCCACTGCTGTGCCGGGAGCAGGCCACCTTGATTTCAGAGAGGAAGGGAGAGGGAGGGAGAGAGAAACATCAATGGTGAGAGAGCCCAGCCGGCGTGGCTCAGGGGCTGAGCATCCACCTATGACCCAGGAGGTCACAGTTTCATTCCCGGTCAGGGCACAGGCCCGGGTTGTGGGCTCTGTCCCCAGTGGGGAGCGTGCAGGAGGCAGCTGGTCCATGATTCTCTCTCATCATTGGTGTTTCGCTCTCTCTCCCCCTCTCCCTTCCTCTCTGAAATCAGTAAAAATATATTTGTTAAAAAATTAAGAGATTGTCATGGATTGGTGGGCCCACCCCAGAGGCCATGCCCCAAGCAGAGGGAAGGGGAGCGTGGCCTGGCCCTCACCCCGCCTCCCCTCACCCCGCTGCTCTGGGCCCCCCCGCAGGACCGGGGCCGGCGGCGAAGCTGGAGGAGATCTTCCGGCAGACCCCGCTGGGCCACTTCCTGGCCCGGCTGCGTGCAGAGGAGCGGCAGGAGCTGCTGCGGTCCTACCTGAGGGACTTCCTGCTCCTCACCATGCGGGTGTCCACGTGGCCAGAACTGGAGGTGAGTGCGGGCGCTGGGCCACGCCCGGCTGCGGACACGGGGCTGTGGTCTAGGGCCCCGGGGGTGCCACACAGCCAACCCCTGCCCCTCAGCCCCTGGAACTGCTACTTCTCAATGCTTAGTGTCTCTCAAAGAAGGTAAGTAAACATGTAACAGCCATTACGGGGTAATAATAACAACAGGAATGTCCGTGGAAAGATGGGACTTCTTTTAAACCTCAGTGCATCGAAAAGGAAAGGGATGTATTTGAGGAACACATATGACCAATATGATTAATTAATAAAGTATTCTTAGGAATCAATAGGAAATCCTCTTACTTTTAAAAATGAAAGTTATGCCTGGCTAGTGTTGCTCAGTGGTTGAGCGTTGACCCATGAACCAGGAGGTCAGGATTCAGTTCCCGGTCAGGGCACAGGCCCAGGTTGCAGGCTTGATCAAGTGTGGAGCGTGCAGGAGGCAGCCAATCAATGATTCTCTCTCATCATTGATGTTTCTCTCTCCTTTCCTCTCTGAAATCAATAAAAATATATTTAAATAAAATAAAGTGTGTCCATGTGTGTCTCTGTGTAACTGTATGTGTGTGTCCTGTGTGTGTGTAACTCTGTGTGTGTGTCCTGTGTGTGTAACTGTGTGTGTGTGACTGTGTGTGTAACTATGTGTGTGTCCTGTGTGTGCGTCTGTGTGCGACTGTGTGTAACTGTGTGTGTGTCCTGTGTGTGTAACTGTGTGTGTGTGACTGTGTGTGACTGTGTGTAACTACGTGTGTGTCCTGTGTGTGTGTAACTGTGTGTGTCCTGTGTGTATGTGACTGTGTGTGTGACTATGTGTGTGTAACTGTGTCCTGTGTGTGTGTGACTGTGTGTGTAACTGTGTGTGTAACTGTGTGTGTCCTGTGTAACTGTGTGTGTGTAACTGTGTGTGTCCTGTGTGTGTGACTGTATGTGTCCTGTGTGTGTAACTGTGTGTGTAACTGTGTGTGTGTCCTGTGTGTGTGACTGTGTGTAACTGTGTGTGTGTAACTGTGTGTGTGTGTAACTGTGTGTGTCCTGTGTGTGTAACTGTGTGTGTAACTATGTGTATGTGTCCTGTGTGTGTAACTGTGTGTGTCCTGTGTGTGTAACTGTGTGAGTGTGTGTAACTGTGTGTGTGTCCTGTGTGTGTAACTGTGTGTGTGTCCTGTGTGTGTAACTGTGTGTGACTGTGTGTGTGTGATGCAGAGACACACCTGAAGGCCTGTCTCCCCAGCTCCTGCAGACGGCCCTTTGGTCCTGCGTCCAGCAGCTGAGGGCCGGCAGCCCCGAGGAGCCCTCCCTCCCGTGGGTGCACCGCGCCTACCAGCACTTCAGGGTCCGGCTCCAGAACTTCTCCAGGATCCTGACCGTCCACCCCCCAGTTCTAGACAGCCTGGCCGCAGCCGCCCGGAGCCAGAACCTGGCCGGGCCCGAGATGGTAGGGCCCCTAAGGGGGCAGAGAACGCTCGGCCTGAGGGGGAGGGAGGGCAGGGCTCCAAAAGCTCCAGCGAGGCTCCTGTGGGCAGGGCGGGGTGGGACACGTGCGTTCAGCCACTCAGATGTGAAGACACATCCAGCACGTGCCCACGGCGTCCGGGACAGCGAGGAGGGGCTGCCCGCCGGCCCCCGGGCCTCGGAGCATGGGACCTAGAGCCGGGTGGGACCTAGAGCCGCGAAGGGGCTGGACAGCGGCTGAGGCCCCGCTTGCCCCGCAGACCTTGGACGCCTGGGCTGCTGTGGCCTGCACCGAGCTGCTGACCAGGGACCTCCTGAAGCCCAGCCCCCAGGCGTGGCTGCGGGCGGTGAAGAGCCTGGCGGTGCCCCTGGAGCTGCTCTGCTCGGAGGGCTACGTGCAGGGCCCGGCGGGCAGGGCCGGTGGCCTCATCCACGAGGTCAGGTGAGCGGGTTCGGTGGAAGGAGGAGCAGGGACCCGGCGTGTGGGGACCCCCTTCCTCCGCCACGCCGGGCTGCACGCTGCGTGGGAGGCCCCAGGGAGGAGAGAACACCACAGGGAAGGGAGGCGGGCAGGACCGCTGTGGCCATAGGCACCTGGAAAGGACCCCACGCAGGACGACAGGGTGGGGGGCACAGTCCTGTGCTGGGCTTATGGGCGTGGGCACAGCGGGACTCACCAGACACAGGCTGGCCCAGCATGTGCCACGCGACATACGTCCCCACGGGGCCCAGGGGGAAACCAACACGGTGGAGGTTGGCCCACAGCACGGGGTGCGCTCTGGCCCGCCTCCGCCTGCCCCCGTCCCCCTCCCCACGCACCCCCGCCCCTGGTCTCCCTCCCTCCTGCCTTGTCCCCCACATCCCCACCCTCCCCCAGTCTCCCTCCACCCACACCCAGTCCGTGGCCATCCCCACTCAGTGCCCCTCCTGGCGTCGGGCTCCTTGGGCAGCGCTGAGCACCCCCTCCTGACAGGGGCCCGTGGACGCGCATCTTCTCCGTGGCGCTCTTCGTGGAGCACGTGCTCCTGGGGGTGGAGGACCACTCGCCCGAGCTGCGCGCGCTGGTGACCGACTGCGTCTTCGCTCTGGACAAGGTGAGCGCTCGGCGCTGCGGGCGGGCAGGGTCCCGTGTCCAGCGGGAGTGACCGCGGCATGGCCTCCGCTTGTCTGCAGGGCGCTGTGCGCCTGTCAGCGCCGCAAGGTCGTCTAAAGTGCAAAGGGCAGCCACCTCCCCACACAGGCCAGCGGGCTCGGCGTGGTCACTGCTGGGTCCTGGGCCCTGTCCTCAGTGCGGTCCGAGCGGATCCCGGCATGGAAGCCACCGCGCCGAGAAAGGGGAGGCGGGGCTCCGCCCGGGCCCCCAGGGCCGCACACCAGCCGCCCCCCTCCACTTGCCAAAAATCGGGAACATTCTAGAAGCCAAGAGCAGAGAACAGGGACGGGGGCAGCCGTCATGGAGCCGGGCAGCGCCTGGAGGAGAGAGGAGGGCGTGCACGTGGAGGGGCACGATGTTTCCACCTGAAGGTCACAGGCCTTTCTGCGCCGCGGGGTCCCGCCCTCCCCGGCACTGCAGCTGGACCCGTGACATGGTCTCTAAAGCGACCTCCCACGCCGGTGTCCTCAGGCCGGGCGGTAGATGCACAGCGGTCCTTACATTATCATTTAAAGGTTGAAATCTCTCATGGTGGGAGGAGGGGTTAGACCTTAAAAACAGGAAGAGGAGCCCGGCCCGCGTGGCTCAGGGGCTGAGCGTCCACCTATGAACCGGGAGGTCACAGTTCGATTCCCAGTCAGGGCACAGGCCCGAGTTGTGGGCTCCATCCCCAGTGTGGGGCGTGCAGGAGGCAGCTGATTAGTGATTCTCTCTCATCAAGGATGTTTCTTTCTCTCCCTTCCTCTCTGATATTATAGATAGAAAGATCGATGATTGATTGATAGATAGATAAATAGATAGATGCTCTGGCCAGTTTTTCCCAGTGGTTGGAGCATGGCCCATGGACCAGAGGGTCTGGAGTTCGATTCTTGTCAAGGGCACATACCTCAGTTAGGGGTTCAATCCTCGACCCTGGTCAGGCCATGTGTGAGAGGCAGCCAATCCATGTGTCTCCCTCACATCAATGTTTCTCTCTCCCTCCCCCCTCCCTCCTCCCCTCCACTCTGTCTGAAAAATCAATGGAAAAAGCCTGGGGTGAGAATTAAAAAGCATGCGTCCCTCTCCCAAAAGCAGCACCAACACCAAGAGCATTCGGGATAGCGACGCGTGCGCGCGCGCGCACACACACACACACACACACACACACACACACACACTCGGGGCCTCCGCAGGGTGGGCGTCGGCGCCTGGCCTGGCTGACCCGCCCTCCTCGCTGCTGACCCTCCTCTCGGCCCCTGCCTTTCCCTCCAGTGTCTGCAGGGGAACTCGGACATCAAGACCCTCCGCCCGTTCTCGGCGGTGATGGCCACGCTCTGTGAGTGTAAGGACCGGGCCAGCAGGACGTTCAGCCGGTGAGCTCCCCGGCGGCCCCGAGGGAGGGAAGTCGGACCCTCTGGGTTCCTAGCGTCCCCCCGCCAGCACCTCCGAGCCAGCACTCACCGCCGCCCTGGGTCCCAGGTTCGGAATCCAGCCGTGCCACGTCTGCCTGGGCGACCCGCGCAGCCCCGTCTGCCTGCCCTGCGACCACGTGTTCTGCCTGGACTGCATCCGGCAGTGGCTCACCGCTGGGCAGATGGCCTGCCCCCTGTGCCTGACGGAGCTGCCCGACGGCTTCTCCCCCACAGTTTCCCAGGAGACGAGGTAAAACACTTGCCCGGCCCTGGCCAGTGTGGCTCAGTGGATAGAGTGTCGGCCTGCAGACCACAGGGTCCCGTGTTGGATTCTGGTCAAGGGCATGTACCTCAGTGGCAGGCTCTTCCCTGGCCCGGGCCCTGGTCAGGGCCCATGCAGGAGGCAACCCATCGACGTGTATCTCTCCCATGAATGTTTCTCTCTGTCTCTCCCTCTCTCTCCCACGTTCCCTAAAAATCAATGGAAAACATTCTCGGGTGAGAATGAACAACAACAGGAAAACACCCTTTTCTCTCAAGAAAGCCTTTCCTCCTCTGTTGCTGATACTGCACCCGAACTGGTAGTCCACTCGCCTCAGGCACGGGGAGGGGGCTGCCAGGGAGATGGGCCCTTCTAGTGCCTGGTGTCTCGGAATCACCGTCTCCCCAACACACACGCTGAAGAGGGGGGTCGGTGACATCAGGAGAAAACCCAGGAAGTCAGGTCGCAGGCAGCGTCCAGAGAGGCCGCGATGCGGGGGTTCATCCCGTCCGGCGCCCGGCCTGAGGGGAGCCTGCCAGGTGGCTGCGGGCAGGCGTTGGAAGTCCGGGGGTTGGCGGGGCCTCGCCCGCTCGCCCCGAGGGAGGGCTTAGAGGGAGGGCTTGGCGTCCTGCCCCCCACCCGGGGGTGCACGCCCGGGACTCTGGGGCACAGTAGGGCAGTGATGGCGAACCTATGACACGCGTGTCAGAGGTGACACACGAACTCATTTTTGGTTCATTTTTCTTTGTTAAATGGTATTTAGATATATAAAATAAATATCAAAAATATAACTTTGTTTTACTGTGGTTGCAAATATCAAAAAATTTCTATATGTGACACAGCACCAGAGTTAAGTTAGGGTTTTTCAAAATGCTGCCACGCCGAGCTCAGAAGGTTCGCCATCCCTGCAGTAGGATGTTAGGTGTGTGGCCGGCTGGTCCGGACGCTCTGTCCCCGGGAAGAGCCGAGAGCACCTTTCCGGGCCGGTTCCAGTCGGTGTGAGGGGATACTCGCGTCTCCGCATTAATAAACAACATGCCGCCCGCATCCCTCACGAGGTGCGAGGAGGGAACCTGGCCGTCCTCCAGCCTCTGACCGAGGTCTTCCGTCCCCAAGGGGCGCCATCGAGCAGCACGCCCGCTTCCGCCGCCTGTGCACCAGCTTCTTCGTGGACCTGGTGTCCACCCTGTGCTTCAAGGACAACTGCCCGCCAAGCAAGGACGTGGTCCAGGCGCTGCTGGCCCTGCTCTTCGTGGAGAAGAGGCTGCTCCGAGATGCGCCCCAGAGTATGCGGCTTCCTGTCCGCAGGCGGGGATGTGTGGGGGTGTGGGGGAGAGGGAGGCTCTGCCGAGGGCCGTTTGTATATTTATTTTATTTTCATTCATTTTTTTAAAATATTTTTTATTGATTTCAGAGAGGAAGGGAGAGAGAAACATCAATGATGAGAAACAATCATTGATCAACTGCCTCCTGCGCGCCCCCTACTGGGGATGGAGCCCGCAACCCGGGCCTGTGCCCTGATGGGAATTGAACCTGGGACCCGTCAGTCCACAGGCCAGCGCTGAAGCACTGAGCCCTACGGCCCAGGGCCTGTTTGGATATTTATAGCGTCATTCGTGGGCCACACACAGTGATCCATTAGCCCCGCCTGTGAGCCAGGCCACGGTTCCAGTCCCGGCAGCTGATCCATGATTCTCCCTCATCACTGATGTTTCTCTCTCTCCCCCTCTGAAATCAATGAAAACATATTTAAAAATTATCCACTTAAACAGGAACCTGCTGTATTTGGTCAAACATTGAATTAACTCGCCCCTAGTGCCGTGGCAGGGCCAGACCGAGGGAGGCTGTACAGCCCGTTGCCGGGCGTCCCCACCTGCGTGCCTCACAGCCCTCCTCCCGCCCGTCTCTCTGGCTCAGCGCACCGTGAACACACCAAGTCCCTGTCCCCGTTTGACGACGTCGTGGACAAGACGCCCGTCATCCGCTCTGTGGTCCTGAAGCTGCTCCTGAAGTACAGGTCAGCGCAGCGGCCAGCAGCCCGCGCGTCTCCTCCCCCTCCTCCTCCTCTTCTTCTCCCCTCCTCCCCCTCCATCCCCTCCTCCTCCCCCTCCTCCTCCCCCTCTTTCTCTCCTCCCCCTCCCCCTCTCCCCCTCCTCCTCCCCTCCTCCTCCCCTCTCCTCCCACCGTGGCTCTCGCCCTGTGCCCAGTGTCCCCGAGGACCAGTCCCTATTGGCGAGGCTCCTGCGCTGACAGAGTCTGTCCTCTCTCTGCGTCAGGCGTGTATTGTCCGTTCTCACGCACGACGCATGGCAGAGGGGTCAGCACGGCCACAAGGCCTTGCTGGGGACCAGAAAGGTGGGGCGGGGCGGGCGGCCGGGCCACGGGACCCAGGGGGTGTCCTGAGTCAGGGGCCTGCGTCTGCTCCCGGCCCAGGTGTGTGGTGTTTAGGGAGACAACTGGGGTCCCCCCCCCCCCCCCGCTGTCTCTCTAGCTTTGTTTCAGCTCCTACAAGCCTGGGACTCTATCAATGGACAGAGGCCTGCAGGGTGCCAGAGTGCTCAGTTTATTTTTCATTAATTTCATACACACACACACACACACACACATCTACATGTATATACATATATATTGATTGATTAATTTCAGAGAGGGAAGGAGAGGGCGAGAGAGAGGAAAACATCAATGATGAGAGAGAACCATAGACCCGCTGCCTCCTGCACGCCCCGCCCCCCCCCCCCCCACCCGGGGATGGAGCCCGGAACCCAGCATGTGCCCTGACTGGGAATGGAACTGTGACCCCCTGGTTCACAGGAGGAGGCTCAACCCCTGAGCCGCGCCGGCCGGGCTGTCTGCACTATGTGTGTGGGAGACAGACAGAGAGGGAGAGAGAGAGAGAGGGAGAGAGAGAAGTAGGAAGGTGACTGGGACCCCCCTCGCTGTCCCTCTTTGAATTGGGGGCCTGCGGTGAGCGGGGCGCTCTCTCCGCAGCTTTCCTGAGGTGAAGGACTACATCCAGGACTACCTGTCGCTGCTGGAGCGGAAGCCGTTCCTGGCCCAGGACAGGACGGAGCTGTACGTGCTGTTCAGCAGCTGCCTGGAGGTGAGCCGCAGCCGCGCCTCATGCTGGGACCCCAGCTTCCGAAAACCTCCGAATACTGTTTCCCGTCGGTGACATGAGCAAACGGGTTCCGAGCCCTGGCCGGTGTGCTCAGTGGTTGGAGCCCGGGCACCCAAGGGTCATGGTTCGATTCTGGTCAAGGGCATGGGCCTGGGTTGCAGCTTTGATCGCCAGCCCTGGTCGGGGCATGTACAGGAGGCAGCCCATCGATGTCTCTCTCACATCGATGTTTCTCTCCCCCTCCCTGTGCCCCTCCCCCCCCCTTTCACCCTCTGGAAATCGACGGGAAACATGCCCTCGAGTGACCATTGCAATGAAGGAAACGACAAGAACACTGCCTTTCCCGTCCGCCCTAGGATTCGATCCACGAGAGGAACAGCGCGCTCCCCGCCCGGGACGAGGCCACGTGCCTCCGGGAGGAGGGCCAGTTCCTCGGAGCGTGTCTGCTCAGGGGGCGCCGCGGGGACCCCGCCCCGGAGGCCTCCGTGGAGTGCCTGCAGGAGACGGCCCAGATCCGCCTCTGCCTGGACCGGGCCTGCGAGGTCCTCTCCGAGCCGCAGGGAGGCTCAGGCAAGTCCCCCGTCCTTGCTCCCGCGGCTCAGAGACCCCAGGACTAGGAAGCCGGGGCCCAGGCCCTCGGGGGTCTGCCCGGGCTGAGGACGGGCCCGGTGCCCTCAGCCCGGCGCCGACCGCGCTCTCCGTGACCCGCAGAGCCGGCCGAGGCGCGGCGGCAGTTCCTGCGGCAGGTGGAGCGCTTCTGCACGCAGAGCGGGAACGACTGGCACCGCGTGTACCTGGTGCGCAGGCTCGCCAGCCGCCGGGGCATGGAGTTTGTGCAGAGCTTCCTGCAGCCCGGCCACCCCGCCCAGTGGGTGTTCCCCCCGGAGGTCCTGGTGCAGCAGGTGAGGAGCGGGTGGGGCCACACCTGCGGGCACCTGTCCCTCCCGCCCGCCCCCCCGCCCTCAGGGAAAGGCCTGCGTCTGCGGGGCCAGGGTCCCTGTGCCCCAGGGACCCCCTCCGCCGGCCGTGACCTTCAGCAGCCGAAGGAGAGAAAAGGACATGTGCGCGCGAGCTGCTCGCCACCCTCCCGCCAAGCTGCTTTAGGCACATGGACGTTTCTCTCTCCCCCTCCTCCCTCCTCTCACTCTCTGAAAATCAGCGGGGAGATGTCCTCAGGTGGGGGTATGGACGGAGCGCCCGGGGAGAGCGGAGAAGGCTCCGTGGCACTGCCTCCAGGGCAGCGACGTTCCTGTGCTCGTGGGGCGAGGCCTCTCTGCCCTTGGTCAGAGCCAGAAGCCACGTGGGCCTCGGGGCCTCCCCGTGGTCCGGTCCCCGTGGGTAGAAACGGACACGCTCTCGCTGTCCCTGGTTAAGTGGCACTAGCACCCTGGCTGTTCTTACTGTCACCTGGAGCCCGGGCTGACGGGACATCCCCTCTCTGGTGCTGCTGTGAGTGGGGCAGGCAGCGCTGTGGGGTGGGCGTCGCTTCCTCCCCCCACACCCTCCTCCGTGAAGGGCCCCCCGCACCCCCTGCCTCTGTGCACCCAGCCCTGCAGTGCCTGCCTGGCGCCAACCCGGAACCCCAGGTCTGAGCCCCTGAGCCTGCAATGATGACCTGCTTTCGTACCTACACACACGGTTCTCTGCTAAACCTCCCCCCGCGCCCCCCCCCCCGCCCCCTCTGCCCTCACCATGGCGAACCCTGTGCTCCGGGGGTTGCAGGAGGACCTTCCGGGCCAGATGGACCGCTACCTGGTGCACGGGCTGGAGTACAAGGCCGTCCGCGACGCAGTGGGCAAGGCCGTCCTGGAGTGCAAGCCCCCGGCCATCGCAGCCGCCCTGGAGGTGGGATGCGCACGCCCTGTCCTGGCTTACGTGGGACGAGGCAGGGGAGGGTGTGTGTTGGGTGGGGGTGGGGGGACGGGGGGATGGCGCCGGCGTCTGCGAGGAGTCAGGCCTGCGGGTGCTGACTGTGGGCGGCCGTGGCCCTCCCTGCTTGTGGTAAGAGCCATGCTGGGTGTTTGGAATCTCGTCTTTGTATATATTTTTTTAATTTTAATATGTGTTTATTGATTTCAGGGAGGAAGGGAGAGGGAGAGAGAGATAGAAACATTAATGAGAGAGAATCATTGATGGGCTGCCTCCTGCACGCCCCACACTGGGGATGGAGCCCACAACCCGGGCCTGTGCCCTGACCGGGAATCGAACTGTGACCTCCTGGTTCATAGGTTGATGCTCAACCACTGAGCCGCGCCGGCCAGGCTGGAATCTGGTCTTTAACATGTTCTGGGCTTCCTTTGTGGGCCCCGTGCACCCCGGCGTCGTGCAGGGAAAGAGGCGGCCCTTCCTAGGCTCAGGGCAAGTTTTGGGGACCATGACGTTGGGAGACGGGGGATGATGGCGATGGTTCCAATACGAGGCCTCTGGCACATGCGCAGGGAGCTTAGTGGCTGACAGAGCTCACGGCCTGGGTGCTGTCGCCCTGAGGTGACCCCTCGGGTGCAGGCTGCAGGGTCTTGGGGAGTCTCCCTGCCCCTCATGGGCGGGGGCCCGGGGGTGGGCTGACCGCGCTGCCCAACCTCCCTGCCCTCCTCGCCCCAGGCCTGCAGGGGCTCCCAAACTCACCAGGCCGCGTACCTGCTGCTGGCGCTCTTCCGCGAGGTGGCCGTGCTGTACCGGTCCCGCAGCGCCCACCTGCACCCCAAGCCGGAGGTGAGTGCCAGCCTCGGGGCGGGGCGTGGTCCCAGGGTTCGGAGGGGACCCCTGAACAGAGTCAGCGTCACAGACTCAGCCCTGGTCGGGCGGCACAGTGGACAGCACCCCCCTTCTCCCCCTCAACGCTGGGACTGAGCCCTGTGTCCCGGGACGGCCAGTAGGTGTCTGCTGTGAACATGGCGCATGTCTGCAGAGCAACCCTGAGGCACACGGCCTGCTCCTCCTTGTGTTTAATAGTGAACCCCGTTCTCCCATCAGCAATGCAACGCCCTGTGCAAGTTCATCGAAGAAAGCCAGACCCTGTCCCCGGACGCAAGAGAGTTCGCCACAGCCCTAGTGACCAACGCTCTGCCGCTGCTGAGGACGGCGGGGCCCGGAGACGGCGGCCTGGCGGGCACGGTGACCGAGCTGGCCGTCCACGCCGCTGTCACCCTCCTCTGCGGGCAGCACGGGATCTTGGAGCCCCTGAGGAACTTGGCCTTCTCCCCGGCCACCATGGCGGTAAGACTGCCCCCGGCCGCGCGGCTGGGTCCACGGGGCTGCCACGCAGACCCCACGCACACTGTCTGTGCAGGGACAGCTGAGCCCACCTGTGTCCTTGGTCCCCGCCGGCCTGCGTCTCGCCCCATCCCTGCGCCCACATGTGGGGAGAATCAGGCCTCGCCCTCTGTTGCCATGGAGAGCTGTTATGTTTCTCTTTTTCTCTTTAACATTTATATATATTTCTAAATATATCTTTATTGATTTCAGAGAGGAACAGAGAGAGATAGAAACATCAAAGATGAGAGAGAATCATTGATTGGCTGCCTCCGGCACCCTCCTACTGGGAATCGAGCCCACAGCCCGGGCATGTGCCCTTGACTGGAATCAAACCCAGGACCTTTCAGTCTGCAGGCCGATGCTCTATCCACTGAGCAACACCGGCCAGGGCTTTAATATATTTTTATTGCTTTCAAAGAGGAAGGGAGGGGAAGAGAAACATCCATGATGCCCTAGCCCAGCGGTTGCCAACCGGTGGTCCATGAGGTCTGAACAGTTGGCGACCGCTGCCCTGGCCGGTGTGGCTCAGTGGATAGAGAGTTGGCCTGTAGACTGAAGGGTCCCGGGTTCGCGTCCAGTCAAGGGCACGTACCTTGGTTGCAGGCTCTCCCTGGCCTGGGCCCTGGTTGGGGCACGTGCAGGAGGGAACCAATCAATATGTTTTTTTCACATCGATGTTTCTCTCTGTCTTTCCCTCTCTCTTCCACTCTCTCTAAAAATCAATGGAAAAACATCCTTGGGTGAGGATTTAAAAGTAATAATAATAAATAAATAAAACTTTATTTTAAAAAAGAAACACCAATGATGAGAGAGAATCATTGATTGGCTGCCTCCTGTACACCCCCTACTGGGGTTCGAGGCATGTGCCCTGACGAGGAATCAAACCCAGGACCCTTCAGTCCACAGGCTGACGCTCTACCCACTGAGCAAAACTGGCCAGGGCGAGAGCTGTTACATTTCCGCACAGACAGCGCCTGGGGCCCAAGCAAGGGGAAGCGGGCCTCCTGCGCGTCTGAAGCCGGCGCTGCCTCTTCGCGTTTCAGAGGGCGTTCCTCCCGACGATGCCTGAGGACATGCTGGCGCAGGCCCGGGGCTGGAAGGGGCTGGAAGCCGTCCGCTGGTACGGTACGTGTCGGCGTCTGAGCGTCCCGCCCCCCGCGCTCGGACGAGCCTCCTGGTGCCACGTGAGCCGCTCGCGGGCTGAGCCGGGGCCCACGGGGTCGGTGCCCCCAGATCTTGCCGCCTGGGAGCAGGGGGCTGGGAGCCGCGCCCGAGGCTCAGCCACAACGCAGCCCGGTGTCGGGCCCTCAGACAGTACTTTTAGGAAAATGAAACGGAGACAGGACAGGAGAGCCCACGACTTTACATAAAGTCTGCAGGGTCCTGAGTAAATAACCCTTTTTATAAGTATTTTCTCTCTTTTGCCGCATCCAGCGCGGCTAGAGAGCAGACAGGAGTCCTGAGTGGGGGCGGCTGGGGATTGAGGAAATGAAAGAAAGAGACCGGCACAGAGACAGAGGGAAAAGCTGGGGCCGGGTGGGACAGCTGTCCTCTGACGGAGAGACGGACCCAGAGCCGGCACGGCATGATTATTTTATACAGCATGATTCCAGGAAGTGTTACTGGAGTTTAAGACAAAGGAAATTATGTGAAATCATGGTTAAAGATCCAGCTGTAATTCTTCATTCTTGAGGCTGGGCCTGGATAATTGCGTCCGTTCCTGGCGCCTGGCTGAACTTAATGAACCGCCCCTGGCGCCTGAGCTAAAGGTCAGACCGACAACACACCCGCCTCTGGCACCGTCTGTTTCCAGGCACGGCTCTGCCGGGCGCCACTGGACTCAGACGCCAGCCAGCTCAGGGCCTTTCCCGGGCGCTCTCGACACCTTTTATGTATTTTTTAAAATGTATGTTTATTGGTTTCAGAGAGGAAGGGAGAGAGAGACAGAAACATCAGTGATGAGAGAGTCATGGATCGGCCGCCTCCTGCACGCCCCACACTGGGGATGGAGCCCGCAACCCGGGCCTGTGCCCTGTGCCCTGACCGGGAATGGAACCCTGACCTCCAGGTTCATAGGTCGACGCTCAACCACTGGGCTGAGTGACTGATGCCTTTAAACTAGTTCCCAAGCTGGTAGAAAGCATGCTCAGGGCAGAGAACGGGCTCAGAGAGATCAGCCGCGTGGGAAGCGCCGGCCGCCTGCCTCCCGAGCGGCCCTGGCTCGGCGTGGAGTCGGCGTCTCCTGCTCCGGAGAATTCCGCTCCGAGCAGCTTCCCCACGCGGCCCACATGCCCGCCCTCCTGCGGGGGTCAGGCCGGGAGGACGGTTAGCCTCCCTGTGCACCACGCGGGTCAGCGGGGAAGCCTCGCTCGCCAACGCACACCCTGCTCTTCTTCCCGCAGTCTGTCCCAGAGGCCACCCGTGCGCTGTCGGGGAGGTGAGTCTGGGTGTTGGGACAGGGTTTGGGGGCCAAAAGGCATGTTCCTTTGGGTCTGGGGACATGGAGGAGCGGGGGGTCTTGACTTCCCAGGGGAACGGGCGCCTCTGGGGGCTGTCCCAGCCGCTCACAAACATCCGCACGGAGCTCAGGGTGTCCAGCCGGGCTCCAGCTCGGCAACTTGCAGACGTCTTTATAGGGGGCCTGTCCTGGGCAGCATCCCTGGCCCTGGCTCCAGCTGCCAGGAGCACCCCCGTCTCCTCAGTGCAGCACCCAGAGATGCCACGGTCCCTGGGCAACAGCATGGCTGTGGTTAGGAACCACCACCAGCCACCTCCGTGGCCCGCAGCGTGGGCTCAGGGACCCGGGACCGGCAGAGAGGGGGCCGGGAGGAGGAGAGAGAGACGTGTAGCTCTCGGCCCCCGGTGCTGAGTCGCCCCGTCCGCACCGCCCCTCCCGTGGCACCGCTCGCTGAGCTGACGCCCCCTCTCCGCAGTGCGGCCTGCCCATGCAGCAGAGCGTCTGCGTCGACTGCGGCGTGCCCGTAGGAGGGCAGGACCACAAGCCCAGCCGAGGATTCGCGGTTGTCCAGTGCGTAAGGCGTTCCCTTCTCCTGCTCACCCCTCCCCCGGCCGAGGGCTGTTTCTCTCCCACCCAATCAGCTGGCACTGAACGTGAAACATGGGTCAGTGCCCGGCTGGGTGTCGGGCCACGGTCCTGTGGTTGTACCACGTGGACGTGCCAGAGCTGCCATTGGCCACAAACCATCAGAATGTCCTAGAACCACCAATGGGCATTCACAGGAATAAGTACTATTATATGTCCCTCAAAAATGCGTACACACTTTGAATAATTTTTTAAATATACTTTTATTGACTTTAGAGAGGAAGGGAGAAGGAGAGAGAGAGAAACATCAGTGATGAGAGAGTCATGGATCGGCTGCCTGCTGCACGCCTCTAGTGGAGGTCCAGCCCACAACCTGGGCATGTGCCCTGAGCAGGAATGGAACCGTGACCTCCTGGGTCATAGGTCAACGCCCACTTTGAGTAATTGCTCATTCCAATGGGTCAAATCTGAAAGGAAAGAAACACCACCCAGCTTCCGGGTAAAGTGTGTGTACATTTGTGGGGGCACCTGTGTTTTGGCCACTGGACATGTCCCTCAGGTCGCACCTGCCCCCTGGGCGTGGCTGGGGCTCCTTCGCCTGACCCTGGTCCCAGTCGTTGATTTGGGAAAAGGAGGCCACTGTGCCCGTGTCCCGGGTTGATGTCAGCTGCCCCAGAAGCTGGCTGTCCTGAGCCTTCTGTCCCCCCGGGATTGCAGCGGGAGAAGCAGGTCCGGCCGGCCGTCCTGCCCCGTGGCCTGGGGGACGGCAGCGAATGCCGCGTCCTCCAGCCACTTTTCCCGGAGAAGCTGTGGGTCCCGGCTCAGCCAGGAGGGTGGTTCTAGAAAGAAAAAGGCTCTGGCCCGGCCGACGTGGCTCGATCCCCAGTGGGGGGTGTGCAGGAGGCAGCCGATCAATGATTCTCTCTCATTGCTTTTCTCTCTCTCCCTCTCCTTTCCTCTCTGAAATCAATAAAAATATATTTAAACAAAGAAGAAAAAAAGACTCTTGGGAAGATCGCCAGGGCTCTGAAGGAAAAGTGCTTTTAATGTTATTTTCCCCCCAAACGGGAGCCTGGCCTTCGGGCCCCCGGGACCTGGGTGTGCCCCCATCTGGGAAGAGATGACCTTCGCCCTCACCTGGCCTCTCCTGCTCTTTCCAGAAATGAGGCGGACAGAACGCAGACGGGCCACGTGCTGGGAAGCCCGCCCCCCGGGGACGAGGCCGTGGCCTCTGACCGAGACCTGTCCCCTGCGGCCTTCCTTCTCGCCCGGCTCCTCACTCACCTGGCGATGCTTTGGGGAGCGGCCCTCAGCCCCCAGGTACGCGCAGGGCTGCCCAGCTGTGTCCTGCCACTGAGCATGGGCGCCGGGCTGTCTCCTAGGGCCCCCCCTCCTATGGGTTTCAGATTCGTCTTCCCACCGAGGCCCCCAGGTAACGCGAAGGTTACCCCCCCCAACCCCGTCACGCAGCCCCGGGCGGGATGGAGGAGTGTCCACCACCTTTAACAAGTCCAATTTAGTTTTTTATATTTTATTGGTTTCAGGGAGAGAGAGAGACATCACTGACAAGAGAGAATCCTAGAGTGGCTGCCTCCTGCATGCGCCGCCCCCCCCCCACCCCCCCACCCCCCCGCCTTGGGGATCCAGCCCGCAACCCAGTACATGCCCTGACCGGGAATCAAACACTGACCTCCTGGTTCATAGGTCGACGCTCAACCACTGAGCCACGCTAGCCGGGCTGTCAAGTCCGTTTTCAATGCCCGACTCGGTCCACACCTGGGCGTGGAGAGGCTGCCGCACTCAGCGGTCTTCCCGTGTCAGGGCCGTGGCTCGGGCAGAGCAGCCTTCCCTCTGGGTTCCTGAACCACAAAAGCAGAGAGCCGGGCTCCGGGCTCCCAGGAGCCCTGTTTCCCTCCCGCGATCCCGAGGCCCCTGTGGGCTCCTCCACTCCGCCTCTGCCTCCGCTGTGAGAGTTCCCACGCGGCTGGGCCCATCTGACGCACTGTCCCCACCCACCCAGGCGCTGACCGGCATCATCAAGCCCGCGGTGAGGGACCCAGGCGCCTTCCTGCAGCAGCACATCCAGCGGGACCTGCAGCAGCTGATGCGGACGCTGGGCAAGAGCGCGGACGACACGGCCCAGGTGGTGCACCTGGTGCTGTGCGTGCTGCTCAGAGAGCAGAACCCCCTCTCCGGCCAGAGTAAGGGGCGAGGGCGCCCGTGGGGGTGGGGGTGGGGGTGGGGTTAGGGGTGGGGGTTCCGGGGCACAGCCGCAGAGCATGGGGCCCGGGGACAGACGGGTGGCGATAGGTGCGGCGCCCCGGCCGGCAGACGGGACCGTGTGCCTGCCCGTGTGCCTGCCCGCCTGTCCCCTCCAAGCTCCCCGCTGGGTGCGCAGAGGGTGCGGGCGGCTTTGCCGTCTCCACTGTCGGAGGTTGGAGCATCTTCACAGGGAATGTGGGAGCGGGGCGGCAGGGGCCATTTTTAAATCCTCGGGTTGATTTGGAAGACACCCACTCCCTCTCCCCAAAAAGGGGACGACGTTTCGGTTGGACGCTGAGCAGTGCCCACTGTGGGGCGGCTGTGTCCGGTGCCTGGGGACCCACTCGCGTTTCTCGTAGGGTCTTTCAGCTTCGATGCCGTCTTGTCAACCAAGCAGAAGAGAAACTCCTGGGAGAAGCTCCTGCAGGCCCTCCTGCTGCCCGAACTGGAGGCGAGTGGGGCAGCAGCCCCGGGGGCGGGGTTCATCCTCGGCCGCTGGGGCTCGGCCCATGCGCCTTAGCAAAGGCTCCGGAGCCCTGGGCCACGCTCGCCCGGCTGTGCCGGCCCAGGCCCCCCGCCGCCGGCCTGAGCGCTGCCCCGGGGGCCGCGGGAGCAGGCGGGGGAGCGGCTGGAGCCCGGGTTGCTCTCCGTGTCATTTCTCAGCAGATGGTAGGGGAGAGGGAGGCCCACACAGACCCGCCCATGCCCCGTAGCCGTGGGTCAGCTGCTCCTCGGTCAGACCAGGGTGCCCGGAGCAGCAGGAAAGAGCGTCAGCGAGCAGCAGGGCGGGAGGGGATGCGGGCCTGAGCCTCGCCATCGGGGCGCCGTGACCTACAGGGTTAGTGTGAGAGCAGCGCGGCTGTTTGGTGACGTGTCAAATGAGCGGTAGGCCCCGGCCGGTGTGGCTCAGTGGATAGAGCATCAGCCCCTGGACTGAAGGGTCCCAGGTTCCATTCCGGTCAAGGGCACGGACCTCGGTGGCAGGCTTGATCCCAGACCCTGGTCCGAGCTCCACAGGAGGCAACCAATCGATGTCTCTCTCACATCGATGTTTCCCTCCCTCTCCCCCTCCCTCCCACTTTCAATGGGAAAACGTACCCTCGGGTGAGGCTTCCCAAGCTAACACGTGAAATGAGCAGTCCAGACGCCCTGGTTGTCCAGGGCCCGGCCCCAGGCGCCCCCAGCGCCCGCGGTGGCCCTCACACCCAGCGCCCTGTCGTGTGCCCCCAGCGTCTGGACAAAACCCTCCTGGAGGTGAACGATCGCATCAGCCGGGACGAGCGCATCAGCTCCGACCCGGTGGCCAGGATCGTGCTGGGGGACCCGGCCGCCTTCCTGCGCCGCCTGCCCCGGGCCAGCGCCCTGCACTGCTCGCGGGTGTGGAGCTGCCGCGCCCGCGTCACCGTGGAGCACCTGCGGCACCTGGTGGAGCAGAAGAACGGCCGGGAGAGCCTGCCTGTGCTCTGGAGGTTCCTGCAGAAGGTGCGCCTGGCGGGAGCCCGCCCCCCCCCCGGCCCCCCCCCCCCGCCCCGGCCCCCCGCCCCCCCCGCCCCGGCCCCCCCCCCCGCCCCGGGCCCTCGCCCCGGGCCCTCGCCCCGGGCCCTCGCCCCGGGCCCTCGCCCCGGCCCCCCCCGCCCCGCCCCGCCCCGGGCCCCCGCCCCGGCCCCCCGCCCCCCCCCCCCCGGCCCCCCGGCCCCCCGCCCCCCCCCCCCCCCCCGTCCCGGCCCCTCGCCCCGGCCCACTTGTCCAGGCCCCTCGCCCCAGCCCCTCGCCCCGGCCTGCCCAGAACAGCCTGCTCTTCCCTGAGTGGCCGTGGGCACCTACTCCCGGGAGGATCCCCCCCGACTGTCTGCAGCTCGGGGGGGGGGGGGGGGCTGCAAAACAATTGTCTCACATCGAGGGGCTTATTTTCTCCCCCTCCCTCCCCCCCTGCCTTCCCCGCTCTCTAAAAACCAATGGAGCCCTGCCGGCGGGCTCGGGTTGAACGTCAATCTATGAACCAGGAGGTCACGGGTTCAATTCCCGGCCAGGGCACATGGTGGGTTTTGAGTTCGATCCCCAGTGTGGGGCGTGCAGGAAGCAGCCCATCAGTGGTTCTCTCTCATCATTAATGTTTCTTTCTCTCCCTCTTCCTTTCTGAAATTAATAAAAACATTTAAGAATTAAAAGTAAAAATAAAAATCAATGGAACAATGTCCTCCGGTGAGATTAACAACAACCAAAGCCACGTTGGCCGGAGGGAAATGCCAACAGAGCCCTGAGCCAGCCCCCACCATGCCGCCCTGTGGCCCCGTCCCCACAGCCCCGCCCCCCGTGGCACTTTCCTGGCCGGTGAGAGATTGACGGATGGACGGATGGCCTTCCCTCCCCAGGAGGCAGAGCTGAGACTCGTGAAGTTCTTGCCTGAGATCCTGGCCCTGCAGAGAGATCTGGTGAAATGGTTCCAGAATGTTCCGGAAGCTGAGTTCCAGTCCATCCGCGGCTTCATTGACAGCCACGGCTCAGGTAGGACTCGGCCATCACAGGAGGTCAGGACGCCTGTTTGGTGGCTCAAGGGTCACTCCAGCTGGGGGCAGGGGAGGGCAGGCCCTCGGGGCCGCCACGCGAGGATGGGGCTGCCGTGAACCCAGACACGGTGGAGGCTTGGTGGCCGCCTTGCTCGGCTCCCAGCACTCGGCCAGGGCGCTCCCATGGCGCTGAGGCTGCGTTGGGCCGGGGGGGCTGGGGGGGGCGGCCTGGTGAGTCTGACCTACATGGCGTGTTCGGCAGGAGGCCTGAAGCAGCTGCTCCGCGGCCGGGTCTCGCTGTTCCTGTCCACGTGGAACAAGCTGCGGAGGTCGCTGGAGACCCAGGGTGAGTGCGCGCCTTCCACGTGGCAGGCACAGGAGGCCCCGTCCCCCCATCCTTGCGGCCCTGCCTCCAGTCCCCTCACCGCACAGCACTGTGCCGCCTGCGCCTGTGGGTGGAGGGGTCTGGGACAGTGGAAGTACACGGCCGTGAAGATCCGCCCTCAGGCTGGCTGGCATGGCTTCGTGGTTGAGCATCTACCTATGAACCAGGAGGTCATGGTTTGATCCCTGGTCAAGGCACATGCCCAGGTTGTGGGCTTGATCCCCAGTAGGGGGCGTGCAGGACGCAGCAGATCCATGATTCCCTCTCAGCATGGATGTTTCTCTCTCCCCCTCCTCCTTCCTCTCTGAAACCAATAAAAAATATAATATAATATTTAATATATATTATAAAAAATAAACCAATAAAAAATATAATATAATATAATATATATTATAAAAAATATAATAGCCCTACCTGGTGTAGTTCAGTGGATAGAGCATCAGCCTGTGGACTGAAGGGTCCCAGGTTTGATTCCCGTCAAGGGCACTTGCCTGGGTTGTGGGCTCAATCCCTAATAGGGGGTGTGCAGGAGGCAGCCCATCAATGATTCTCTCTCATCATTGATGTTTCTCTCTCCCCCTCTCCCTTCCTCTCTGAAGCCAATAATAAATATATTTTAAAAAGTAAAATCTCTCTATATAAAAGCCTAAATGACCGAACCACTGGTCACTATGATGCACACTGACCACCAGGGGGCAGACGCTCGGTGCAGGAGCTGTTCCCTGGTCGTCAGGTGCTCCCACAGTGGGAGCGTCGCTCAGCTGCCCAATGGGCGCCAGATGCAGGGCTCACAGCTGGTGAGGCCGCTGCCACCGTGCCAGCCTCTCCCGATCAGGAGTGACGGCGCAAGCCCGTGGCAGGCACCGCAGGGCCAGGATGAGCGGGAGCGGCAGGCGGCGGTGGCTGCCAGTTTCGGCTCGATCCCCGCAGGCCATGCTGAGGGCCGGGCCCCGGGCCTCTAGTAAAAAGAATAAAACCCACGCTGGCTCCTCCTGGGTCCGTCCAGGTGGGAACCAGGGTGCTGGGGGCCCTGTGGCCGGCGGCGCCTGGAGAACGGGAGGGCCCCTGAGAGCCCGGGGGCAGCTCTGCCGCTGGGCGTCCGCGCTGCTGCCCGCGGGGCGGCCGGATGCCTGCGGGAAGCGGCCGGGGCGGCTGCCGGAGAACAGCCCTGTCCTTCAGGCGAGATCAAGCTGCCTGCGGACTACTGCCGCGCCGACCTGGACCTGGACGCCGAGTTCGAGGTCATCCTGCCGCGGCGCCAGGGCCTGGGCCTCTGCGCCACGGCCCTGGTCAGCTACCTCATCGGCCTGCACAACGACATGGTCTACGCGGCGCAGAAGCTCTCGGAGGAGGAGCACAGGTGAGCGCGGGCCACCCTCTCGGCCCCGGGAGGCGGCTCGGCCCTCGGGAGCCCGGCGTCCTGGCGGGTGCTGACCGCCCGAGGCCGTGCCCTCCGCAGCTACTCCGTGGACGCCTCCGAGGTGGCCGACCTGCACGTCATCAGCTACGAGGTGGAGCGGGACCTGATGCCGCTGATCCTCGCCAACTGCCAGTACCAAGTGGTGCAGGGCGGCGAGAGCCTGCAGGAGCTGGACCTGGAGCGGATCCAGCGCCAGGTCACCGGCCGCTTCCTCCAGGGCAAACCCCGCCTCAGCCTCAGGGGCCTCCCCACGCTGGTGTACCGGCGCGACTGGAACTACGAGCACCTCTTCGCCGCCATCCGGAGCAGGGTGCCCCAGGTGAGCCCGGCCCGGCCGCCGCGTCCGGCTCCGGGGGCTCCCTTCGCACGGGCCGCCCACCGCTCCGCCCTGCGGGCAGGCGGGCCGGGCCGTGGTCCGGGTGTCACAACCACGTGTGCCCGTGCGGCAGGCCAGGGAACTGTGTGTGGCCTGTGTGTATTGAGTATGTATGCATGTGTGTGCAGGTGAGGAGTGTGTGTGCATGTGTATGCATGTGTTGAGTATGTGTGTGACATGTGCGTGTTGAGTGTGCACGTAGCATTGTGTGTTGAGTATGTGTGTGGCATGTGCGTGTTGACTGTGCATGTGTGTGGGCGTGTTGAGTATAGACACGTGTGTTGTGTGTGTGTGTCTGTGTGCACTTCCTCACACGTGGCTCTGAGGGTCCGGTGAGTCCCCACCTCTGTCTGGGAACAGCTGACCCTGAGGAGCTCAGGTCACAGCGCTCCTCCCGGCCTGCGACCTTGGTGTCAGCCGTCTCACCCCTCCCACCCCCGCTGCTTCGATTTCCAGAGCCCCCTCCCCCACGCGGCCGCCAGCACCCTGGGCGGGCAGCTGCAGTCCTACAGCGATGCCTGCGAAGCTCTGTCCCTCGTGGAAGTCACGCTGGGGTTTCTGAGCACAGCGGGCGAGGACCCGGACATGGACCTGAACGTGTACCTGCAGGACAAGCTGCGCATGGGTGACCAGACCGAGCAGGTGGTCAAGGTGGGTGTGAGCGGAGGAGCGGGTGGGAGAAGGGGTGTGAGCGGGGGAGCGGGTGGGAGAGGGGGTGTGAGCGGAGGAGCGGGTGGGAGAGGGGGTGTGAGCAGGGGAGCAGGTGGGAGAGGGGGTGTGAGTGGGGGAGTGGGTGGGAGAGGGGGTGTGAGCGGAGGAGCGGGTGGGAGAGGGGGTGTGAGCAGGGGAGCAGGTGGGAGAGGGGGTGTGAGTGGGGGAGTGGGTGGGAGAGGGGGGAGCGGGGGAGCAGGTGTGAGCAGGGGAGCAGGTGGGAGAGGGGGTGTGAGCGGAGGAGCAGGTGGGAGAGGGGGTGTGAGCAGGTGGGAGAAGGGGTGTGAGTGGGGGAGTGGGTGGGAGAGGGGGTGTGAGCGGAGGAGCGGGTGGGAGAGGGGGTGTGAGCAGGGGAGCAGGTGGGAGAGGGGGTGTGAGTGGGGGAGTGGGTGGGAGAGGGGGTGTGAGCAGAGGAGCAGGTGGGAGAGGGGGTGTGAGCAGGGGAGCAGGTGGGAGAGGGGGTGTGAGTGGGGGAGTGGGTGGGAGAGGGGGGAGCGGGGGAGCAGGTGTGAGCAGGGGAGCAGGTGGGAGAGCGGGTGTGAGCGGAGGAGCGGGTGGGAGAGGGGGTGTGAGCAGGTGGGAGAAGGGGTGTGAGCAGGGGAGCAGGTGGGAGAGGGGGTGTGAGCGGAGGAGCGGGTGGGAGAGGGGGTGTGAGCAGGGGAGCAGGTGGGAGAGGGGGTGTGAGCTGGGGAGCGGGTGTGAGCTGGGGAGCGGGTGTGAGCAGGGGAGCAGGTGGGAGGGGGGGGAGCGGGGGAGCGGGTGGGAGAGGGGGTGAGCGAAGAGGCGGACTGGGCGTGGAGCTGGCGGAGGGAGCCGGGTGCGCTCAGGCAGGATCTCAGCACCGCGTCCTGAGCCCCCTCCTCCCCAGGCCCTGCACCTGCACCCGTGTCGGCTCCGCCACGTCATCGCGCTCTGGCAGCTCCTCTCTGCTCACAAGTCTGAGCAGCTGCTGCGCCTGCGGAAAGTAAGTCCCGTCTCCTGGCCAAGCGGCTCCCTCCCTGGGCCTCCTTCCCTCCTCCCCTCCCTCCCCCCGGCCTCCCTCCCTTCTCTCCTCCCTCCCACCTCCTGGGCCTCCCTCCCTCCTCCTGGGCCTCCCTCCCTCCTCCTGGGCCTACCTCCCTCCTCCCCGGGCCTCCCTCCCTCCTCCCCAGGCCTCCCTCCCCTTCCTCCCTCCTCCCCAGGCCTCCCTCCCTCCTCCCTCCTTCCCAGGCCTCCCCTGTGCTTCCTTCCCCACAGGAGCCCTTCAGGGAGATCGGCACCAAGTACCGCGTGGCGCTCAGCCCGGGAGGCACCAAGCTCCTGCGCGCGTTCCTGAAGCAGAGCTGCCTGGATGTCTTCCTCCTAGAGCTCCACGAAATGATCCTCTTGAAACTGAAGCCCCCCCACACCGACTTCAACCCCGACTGGAGGTAGGGCTGGCGCCTGCGGGTGCCCTGGAGGCGCGTGGCTCCTGCAGCCTCGGTGGGTGCAGCCTCCCCTGCTTCCCTGCGCGCCCCGGACTCTGGAGTCAGTCTCCAGGGCAGGGGGGGCGTCCGCCCCGGGCAGAGAAGGCCCTGCCCGGCGTTAGGAGTGAGTTAATGAAATGCGGTGACGTGGGAATTCTGCATGGCCCGCGATGATGGTCACGCCCCCGTGGCCCCCACGGGGGGCAGGGGGTGCTCCCACCTGCTCTGCTGGGTCTCTCGGCACCGCGAGGGGCTTCCTGAGTCGGGTCCCCATCACCTTTTTGCTGCTGCTGTTCCGCTAACTCCTGCATCACTAAGGGGTCCGTTTTTGAAAACTTATTATTTTTATTGTTGAAAGTATTACAGATGCCCCCTCCCCCACTGACCCCCTTTGACCCACCCCTGCCCCACATCCTAACTCTCATAGAAAACACCACCCCGTGAACAGTGTGAGGGCACTCACACACACACTCACACACACACTCACACACACACACTCACACTCACACACACACTCACACACTCACACACACACTCACACACACATTCACACACACACTCTCACTCTCACACACACATTCACACACACACACTCACACACATACACTCACACATATACACACTCGAACACACACACACACACACACATACACACACTCACACACACATTCACACACACACATACACACACACAAATACACACTCGAACACACACATACACACTCGAACACACTCACACACATACACACACATTCACACACACACACATACACACACTCGCACACATACACACACACATTCACACACACATTCACTCACACACACACACACTCACACACACATTCACACACATTCACACACACACTCACACACACTCACACACATTCACACACACTCACACACACACACTCACACACACACACTCACACACTCACTCACACACACACACACATTCACTCACACACATACACACACATTCACACACACTCACACTCACACACACACATTCACACACACACACACACACTCACACACATACACTCACACATATACACACTCGAACACACACACACACACATACACACACTCACACACACATTCACACACACACACACACACTCACACAAATACACACTCGAACACACACACACATACACACTCGAACACACTCACACACATACACACACACATTCACACACACACACATACACACACTCGCACACATACACACACACATTCACACACACATTCACTCACACACACACTCACACACACATTCACACACATTCACACACACACTCACACACACTCACACACATTCACACACACTCACACACACATTCACACACACTCACACACACATTCACACACACACACTCTCACACACACTCACACACATTCACACACACTCACACACACTCACACACTCACACACTCACACACACATTCACTCAAACACACTCACACACACACATACACACACACATTCACACACACACTCACACTCACACACACATTCACACACACTCACACACACACATTCACACACACACACACACTCACACACATTCACAGACACACACACACATTCACACATACACACACACTCACACACACTCACACTCACACACACACACTCACACACACACTCACACTCATACACACACACTCACACACACACACACTCACACTCACACACACTCACTCTCACACACACATTCACACACACACACACATATACACACTCGAACACACACACATACACACACTCACACACACATTCACACACACACACATACACTCACACACATACACACTCGAACACACACACACATACACACTCGAACACACTCACACACATACACACACACATACACACTCGAACACACACACACATACACACTCACACATTCACACAGACACTCACACACATACACACACATTCACACACACACACATACACACACTCGCACACATACACACACATTCACACACACATTCACTCACACACACACACATACACACACACATTCACACACACACTCACACACACACATACACATTCACACACACACACACACATTCACACACACTCACACATACACACATACACACACACATTCACACACACACTCACACACACTCACACACACACATACACACACATACACACACACTGTCACACACATACACACTCACACATATACACACTCGAACACACACACATACACACACACTCACACACATACACACTCGAACACACACACACACATACACATTCACACACACACACACACATACACATTCACACACACACACACACACTCACAGCCCCCACCCCTCGTATCTCGCTGTCTAGGGCCACGCCCACTCCTGTCCTGTCCCCGAGGCTGAGGGGCTTCTCTGTTCATCGGTCTGTGGCCTCCCTCTGAGTCGCCTCTGATACCCTTTGATTACTTGGGGGTGGGGTGGGGGTGGGGGCTGTTTATCTTCTTAATCGTGAACGATTAGGATTAGCCTTTCACCCCTCAGGTCCCAAAGGCCCATCTTGGTGTTTAATTGTGGGGAAGCTGACGGTTTTCCTTGGAGCCGCCGTGGGCACACAGAGCGGTCAGGGCCTCCCTGTCCCGAGGCTGCAGGACAGTCCTCGGCGTTTTCTGCTTGTGCCTCTGGGCTCTGCTTGTGCGTTAAGTCGCAGCCGGTTTATTTCCATGTGTGGTGTGAGGCAGGGATTTAGCTTTGCTGGTTTTCTAAACAGAAGTCACGGCCAGTTCCCTCGCTGCCCACGGCACGGTTGCTATTTTCCCGTTACAGGTGTGGCATACACCTGTATACATCTGTATCTTCGGATTTTTAAGAAATTCTCACCTGAGGATATTTATTGATTTTTTTTTTTTTTTTTTTTTTTTTTTTTTTTTTTTTTTTTTTTAGAGAGAGATGAAAAGAGAGGGCTGGGGAGAGGAGATGAGAGAGAAACACCCATCGGTTGCCTCTGCACACCCCGGATGGGGACCAAGCCCACAGCCTGACCAGGGATCGAACCCAAGACCTTCTGGTGCCTGGGACGACGCTCCGACCCACTGAGCCACACGGCCAGGGCCATGTCGAGTTTCTTAACAAGTCCTTGCTCCCCTGGACTCTGTGGGGACGGGAGTCCGTTCCTGGGGGCCCCACGGTGCTTGTGCACGTCACATCACGCATGTGGGAGGCGGGCACACCAGAACCTCGGGCCGGGCTCCTGGTCCCCACAGACCCACTCGCCGAGGGCGGCCTATGGCTGACCCCCACGTTCCTGGTTGCGGGAGTACTGGTTCTGCTGATGGCCAAGAGGGGGACCATGGATGGAGGGAGACCGCAGCTGGAGGGGGACCGTGGATGGCAGGGAGGGGACTATGGAGGGAGGGGACCGCAGCTGGCCGGGAGGGGACCGTGGAGGGAGGGGACAGCGGCTGGCCGGGAGGGGACCGTGGAGGGAGGGGACAGCGGCTGGCCGGGAGGGGACCGTGGAGGGAGGGGACCGCGGCTGGCCGGGAGGGGACTGTGGAGGGAGGGGACCGCGGCTGGCCGGGAGGGGACTGTGGAGGGAGGGGACCGCGGCTGGCCGGGAGGGGACTGTGGAGGGAGGGGACCGCGGCTGGCCGGGAAGGGACTGTAGAGGGAGGGGACCACGGCTGACCGGGAAGGGGTCCGAGGTTGTCTGGAATCTGTTCTAAATGCCGCCCTGTCCCTTGGTCTTTCAGCCTGAGAGAAACTCTAGTGAGTTACATGGAGACGAAAGAAGTTGACATTCCCCCCGAGATGGAGGGTCAGTTCCCGGAGGAGATACTGCTCTGCCACTGCGTCTCTGCGTGGAAAACGGCGGCCTTGCTGAAGCGGGCACGACAGGCGAGATAGAGCCGCTCCCTCTGCAAAGCTGCTCCCCCCACAGAGCTGCTCCCTCTGCAGAGCTGCTCCCCCCACAGAGCTGCTCCCTCTGCAGAGCTGCTCCCCCCACAGAGCTGCTCCTTCTGCAGAGCTGCTCCCCCCACAGAGCTGCTCCCGCTCCAGAGCTGCTCCCCCCACAGAGCTGCTCCCTCCGGCTGGGACTGCAGCCTTGGGACCAGCGTGTGCTCCGCACTCTCCAGGTGGTGACCACGGGTCCCGGGAGGTGGACACCAAACAGGCCACGGTGCTCACGGTCCAGGGGAGCAGATGGGAACTGTGTGCCTCGGGCCTCCAGCCCCTCTTTCTCGGGCCACGTGGTCAGAGGGGGCAGGGCTACAGTTTTTCCTTTTATTTCTTGTAACATGCTCTGCTCTCGGGAAGAGCGGCGTCCTTCTCCCTCCCCCCTTCGCACTGAGAGTGGCAGCCTCTCCTCGGCTCCCGGGAGCAGAAGGTGCCAGGGCGTCCTGGCGTCACGGACCTTGGGGCCAAACCAACAGGACCTGGCGCGGCCCGGCCTGAGCCCCACCCCCACCCCCACCCCCAGCCCGGGTCGGAGCACTGGACGCAGCCCCACGCTCTCAGGGGCTCGGCCTCCTCACCTGCCAGAGGAAGGAGCCGGACCGGCGGCCGGGCTTCCTCCGCATCTGGGCTTTTGAAACGGAACGAACGGGTGTCGGTGCCGATGTGGGTCCGGGCGCAGCCTGGCACCGCTGGGGACGCATGGCCCGGCGTTCGCCCATCAGCGGATCCTGTGTGACCTCAAGGTCCCTGCGGTCTCCGCCGAGGCACAAACAGACTCAGGGAGGACACGAGGCCAGGAAGCTTCCAGAAAAGAACCCGGGAGTCTGGTCCCAGCCCTGCCCTCGTCCTGCTGTAGCTGGACGTGAGGTGCCAGGGCCTCTCTGGACTAGTTCCCACTCCTGGGGGCCCGGCACCCACGGCCACGGCCACGGCCAGACAACTCAGGGAAAGGCCTTCGTGCACATTCCAAGCGAGGGGGGCCTGTGGTGGTGAGAGCTACACAGAGAGCCAGAGCGGGACCGCCCTCAGCCCCACCCCCGGGGCTGCAGACGCCGCCCGGCCACCAAGTGCTTGGTGAGCGGGCAGTGGCCCAGCCGCACTCCTTCGCCTGAGGCGCTGGCCGCCTGCACTCGGCCCTCCGATCCTACAATCACTCCCGACCGTGCAAAGGCACCCCCATGCCATCCGCACCCTGGGGTGCACGTCAGTCAGGGAAGGGGTGGCTTGCTCGGCCCTTTGCCTTGCACTTGGAACTCCCAGGATCCTCAGGGCTAGGGTGACGCCGCCACGGTGGCCATCAACGCCACTCGGGCTCCTTGTGGTGCCACGCGGGGCCAAAGGCCCTTCTTCCTTTTGGGGGGTGTGGGGGGCGGGGCGGAGTGAAGGTTCGCCCCGCTTTTATGAGGGGTTTTATGAAGACTTTTGTACGCGATGCTTTCAAAGCCTTAACTGCCATTGTCCAGCATTGTCTTCTTTGCCTCAAAATACACTGGCCGAGCACACACACATGCAAGTTCTGTTACAGCCGTTACACCTGTTTAATAAACTTGCATTTTGATCAAGCCAGAGAGTCCTTCTCTGGGGGGCGGGCACGCTGGCTGGAGCCGGCTCTGCCCGCTGCGGAATGTGGTGTAGAGCTGCCACCCGTGGGGAACGTGCCCTGGTTCAGAGCACGAGGGTAAAGGCCTCCTCTGGGCAGGACGGCCGGGCCTTGCGGCCTCGAAGCCGAACGCTGCTCCCAAGGCAGTAGCCTGGGCCTCAGGGTGCCCTCTGTCCCTGGCTTGGGTGGGCGTCTGGTGAACAAAGGTCTGTGCCCTCCCAGGAAACTTCCCACAGTCACTGGGATTGAGGCCAAGGCGCCGGGTGAGTGGCAGGTGCCCCGCGTGGCGTTCGGGGCATCACCCCGAATGGCGGCACCTGGAAACAGCAGAGGGGGAGGCGCTGCGGCGCCCTGTGCGGGAGGGAGGGCTGGAGCTGCCTGGGCGCAGGAGAAGGCGTGTAGGCCCAGGAAGCCCGAGCAACCGGGTTGCTCAGTGGTTAGAACCTCCCCGGGGACTCAGGGGCCCCACCCTTGGGCGCTTGTGGGAGCGGCCGGTCCATGTCTGTCTGCCTCTCCCCATCCCACTCTTTCTAACAAATCCATGGGAAACAGCCACCGGTGAGGATTAACAAAAACAAAAGCAATGGCCTCCACTGCATCTCCTGGCCCAGACCCGGCGGCCCGCCCACCCCTGCAGGCCCGTTCTTTGTGCAAACGAATGTGGGAGCTTCCTGCTCGGTCCCACGTGAGAACGCCGCGCGGGCTTCTCCTGTGCACCTGTGGGTCCGTGTGACGGTCCCGCCAGGACCCCGAGCCCCACGGCGCCTCCCTCCGCGGGCCGCGCGCACCGGCCCCGCCTGGTCCTCGCGAGGGCGGCGCAGGCGGCGAGGCCGTGCCCGTGCGACCTCCAGCCACCAGGCGGCGCCGTCCGCTGAGCCCCGCCCCAGGCGGCCCCACCAAGCGCCACCAGGGCAGACCGGAAATGAGCAGGCGGCAGGGGTGTCGGGCTGTGCCATGGCCCAGGAAGCGGTTGGACGGCCGCCTGAGGAAACCCTGTCGCTCTGGAAACGGTAATGAAGCCGGGAAACGAGCAAGCGCTTGGGCTGAAGCGATGCCGCCCCCCACGGCCCCGCCAGCCTCGGAGTCCCCGGCTTTGGGGCGGCGGGGTTACCGACCCGCATCGGGAGCGGGGACCAAAGGGCCTTCGGGAGTTGTAGTGGGCGGGGTGGCGGCGCTCGTTTCCGGCGCGCGTCCAGGTCTCGGGGAGGGGGCGGGGCGGCCGGAGGGGGCGGGGTAAGCAGCTAGGGGGCGGGGGCGGGAGGGTGGAGTAAGCAGCCAGGGGGCGGGGCAGCCAGGGGGCGGGGCAAGCAGCCAGGGGGCGGGGCAGTCGGAGGGGCGGGGCAAGCAGCCAGGGGCGGGGCAAGCAGCCAGGGGCGGGGCAGCCGGAGGGGCGGGGCAAGCAGCCAGGGGGCGGGGCAGCCTCAGGGATGGAGCCTGACTGCCCGCTCATCCCGCGGCTGCCCTCAGGGAGCAAGCCCTGCTGAAGGCCCGTGTGGTGGACCAGGACACGGAGGCGTGGCAGCGGGACCCCGCCTTCGCGGGGCTGCAGAGGGTCGGCGGCGTGGACGTGTCCTTCGTGAAGGGCGACAGTGTCAGCGCCTGCGCCTCTCTCGTGGTGCTCAGCTACCCTGAGCTGGAGGTAACGGTGGGGCTGGGCTGGGTGGTGCTGGCCAGGGCCGCCCTGCTGGGCTGCGCGCGCCCTAGTGAGAGAGGTGGGGCTCCGGCCGGGAGCGCGGTGTTTGGTAGGATCGCATTGGAAGGTCGGGGAGTCTGCAAAGAAAACGAGACGACTCCCCACCTCCGTGACCCGCAGGGACACATCCCACGTTGCCCAAGCCGGAAACCTGTCTGCCCAGACCACCCCCTCCAGTCACAGACGAGCTCCATTTTTATTTGTTGATTTCAGAGAGGAAGGGAGAGGGAGAGATGGGAACATCAGTGATGAGAAGCATGGATCGGCTGCCTCCTGTACGCCCCAACTAGAGGTCAAGCCCACAACCCGGGCATGTGCCCCGACCGGGAATCGAACCGGGACCTCCTGGTTCATACGTCGGCGCTCAACCCCTGAGCCGCGCCGGCCGGGCCGCCAGCTCCATTTTCAGCATTTCTTCTCTGCCCCCTAAATGCTGCTGGAGTCAGTCCCCTGTGTGCATCCCGCTGCCCCTCCCCGGCCGTGCCGTGGCCACCCCTCCGCAGGGTCCGTGCTGCCAGCAGAGCTGTTTTCCTAAAGAGCAAGTGAGGTCACATCACCACCTAGTCCACGGAAGGCCCTTCCTGTGTCTCCGTGGCAAATAAAGTCCATGCTTGCTGACGAGGTGCGAAGGCCTCTCACTGGTCTGACTTCTGCTTAAGGCAGGCGGTGGGTCAGCTCTCAGCCGCTCCCCACTCACCCTCCACTCCGAGGGCGTTGGATCCCGCAGGCAGGCCACGCTGCCCCTGCTGCCTGCCCTTCGCCGCCACGTTCACTGTCCTGGAATGTTCTACCCATCTCTGAGGTTCTCCAGTGACACCCCTCATCCTGCAAGACCAAGAGGTGCTCCCAGCACCCTCTCTTTTCTCTCTCACACTGGAATGGGATTGGCCCGTCTCCCCGACCGTGTGGTCCTGCCCACCAGCCGTGGCCTGGGCACCGAGCTTCCGGCCTGGTGGAGAGAAGATGGGAGTAGCTGCGTGGATGAGTGAGTGAACGTGTGCCAGGGTGTGTCTGGGGCCCAGCTCAGGGCGTCGTGGCTAAGGGGGAGCTTGGGAGGGGGCCTGGCTGTGCCGCTTCAGAGCTTCCCTCCCTGCTCCTCCGCCTCCCAGAGGCTGTGTCCTCCGCCTCGGGCCTCGTGCTGGACTTGGGGGCCCCACAATCAAAACCCAGGAGTGTGCCCAGCACCTGCTCTGTGCTGAGCGCGGGCGAGCGGCCAAGGCCTGGTCCTCAGAGGCCCTGGTCGGCATGGAGGACAGCGCGGGGGACAGGCATGGCTGCTTGGCTTCCCACCTGGCTCTGCCCCGCCCACTTCAACCCCAGGCCTGCACCTCCTCCTTCCTCACTGTGGACGGGAATGTATCTGCACAACTGAGCTGAGCTGAGGCCAGGCACTGAAGCGGCTAGCGCCACCGCAAGCCCGCCATAGACACGCCAGCCCCAGGGACTCTGGCCTTCCCAGACCCAGTTCCCGTGTCCCGTGGGCCCGTGCCTGCCCCTCGCTGCAGGGGCCCCACCTCTGCCCCGGCCTCGATCTCAGGCGGTGCTGGGCAGCGATCCTCACGGATATGAGTTACCGGCCCACTGACCGGGGCTCTCAGGGCGGGGTCTCAGGCTGTGTCCTCTTGCGACCCCAGCACGTGCCCAGGGCCTGCTGCTGGACGAGTCAGCTGCGTGAGGGGCTCAGACCAGCCGGGGGTCTTGGGAAAGTCTGGCCCAGTGGCCCCCAGTGCGGGCGAGGACCTGCAGGCTCGATGGGCAAATCCACAGGGACCAAGTGGGGCCGTGGTGGCCGAGGGCTGGGGTGTGGGGCGGAGGGGCAGTGGCGGCTGACCGGTGCAGGGCCACTCGAGGTCTGGAGAACGTGCATGCCCTCAGGCCCAAGGTGCAGGGTCCCTGTGCCGGAAGCAGGTCCCACACCGAGCTGATCGCGTGCAACGGGCTGTGTGTTAGCCGCTCGCTCTGAAGAGCCAGGAGGGGAGCTGTCATTGTGGGAGCACTTCCGGGAGCCCCGACTGCCGGCCCTGCCCGAGACCCTGTCCCCACTCCTCCCACCTGCCGTCTCCAGCACTTCTCCCGGGGCCTGTCCTTGTCCCCTGAGCCTCCCACCTCCGGCCTCGGCTCTGACTCTCAGGAGCAGCCCGACCAGAGGAGCTGACTCAGCAGCAGGGCGACTCCCAGCCCCATCTGCAGGGCGCTCACCTGTCCTTCCTCATGCTCCTTCCAGACAGTGAGGCAGGGAGGGGAGGGGGCGCTGCAGAGGAGGGGATCCACGGATGAAGGCAGAGCCATGCCCCCCCCCCCGCCCCGCGGCCTGACCTGGCTCCTGGCGCAGGTGCTGTATGAGGACAGCCGCCTGGTCCACCTGACGGCCCCCTACCTGTCGGGCTTCCTGGCCTTCCGAGAGGTGCCCTTCCTGGTGGGCGCGGTGCAGCGGCTGCAGGAGAAGGAGCCCAGCCTCATGCCCCAGGCAGGTACCTCCGGGGGCCGCTGCTGCGGGGGGGGGGGGGGCTTCCTGGAGGAGGGTCACTCTGCCCTGAGCGCGGGGAGAGGACCTTCTCAAAACCTGGGCTCAGTGGTGGCCCCAGCCTCCTGCTCCCAGACGTCCCGGCCTCATGGCAGCACCGCTCACCGTGCCTTCCCGATGGCTCTTCCAGGTCCTCCTTGTGGATGGAAATGGGGTGCTCCACCCCCGAGGTGATCCTGCTCCCGAGAGGCGGTGGGAGGGCTGAGGGAGGGGGGACGCCCAGGACGCCGGCTCCCACCCAGCCAGGCGCTGAGAACTCCTCTCTGCCTTGTTGGGACCCCCAGTAAAGACCCTTCTCTTCACCCCCATCCCGCCTGCCCCGAGGCCCCCAGCACCCCCGGGCCCACGTGGTGCCACTGCCAGGTGGGACTGACCGCCCCCAGGAGCCCCGGCCCGAGCTCCGTCTGCCTGTCCCACTGGTGGCCACCTGCAGCCTGGCGTCCTGGCCCCGAACAGGACACTGGGACTTGGCCCAGGGAGAGCTGAGGGGCCGGGCTACCTCACCCTCAGATAGGAAGTGGGGGGACCGTTGTTGCAGCAGAGAGGCAAAGGTGGGAACACGCACCACCCTGGCCGGGGACCCCAGGCACAGCAATCCGGCCACCTGGCAAGATCCCCCGAGTTGTCAGGGGAATTGGGGGCCAGAGACCCAGAGGCTGACGGTGGCCACAAAGGGGAGGAAGCAGGCAGGTGCTGGGAGTGCCGAGTGGTCTCCTAAGTGCTGGAGGGGGAGGCGCCCTCCACCCAGCGGGCTCCTGGGAAGCTGGGCAGGGACCACGGCAAGGTCAGCTGGGGCTCGGGTCCCGTCCCTCAGCCCGAGGCAGCCTCCGTCCGCTCGGCAGACTCAGGAAGGGTCTGGTGTGTCCCGAGGCCCCTGCACCCCTTGGCATAGCCCTTCCCCCCGCCAGGCTTCGGGGTGGCCTGCCACCTGGGCGTCCTCACGGACCTGCCCTGCGTCGGGGTGGCCAAGAAGCTGCTGCAGGTGGACGGGCTGGAGAAGGACGCCCTGCACAGGGACCAGGTGCGACCCCGCCCCGCCCCGGGCAGCCCGGCCTGTTGCCGCTCGCCCCTCCTGGGTCCCTGTCCTGGGCTCAGGAAGACCCGCTGTGCGCCCCCGGGTTCCCTGCGGGTGGTGGAACCTCCAGCCCCCTCTGAGCTCCTCTCCCAGCCCCCCTGCCCCTGAGGGGGCCCCATGTGGGGTGGGGCCTCTGGCTCTTGGGCCGGGACACTGGGAGCCTGTGCCATGCCCTGCGCAGCACCAGGAACGGGGGCCTCCCGAGACAGCGGGCAGCACTCGCTCTCTCTGGGAAGCAGCTGGAGGACAGGGCACAGTGTCTGTCGGGGCGGCCCTGCGTCTGCGTGGGGCTGTGGGCAGGGACCCCGCCTTCCCAGTGGGCCACCCGCTGCCCCCAGAAATGTTCCTTGGGCTGAAGCAAATGTGCCCACACTCCCAGCAGGAGCGAGCACGGCAGGGAGCGAGGGCCTGGGGGCAGGAGCAGGCCTCCCACCCGCTGAGGCCTGGGCAGACTGCCCCCCGCCCTCCCAGCCCGGCCTTCGCCCTGGAACCGGGAGGAGAGACCCGCGCTCCGAGGGCCTCGCCAGGGTGGACGGAGCCGAGGGCAGCTCGCCGGGCAGGGTGGCTCCAGGGTGGTCCGGGCCCGCCTCTGCCCCGCGGCTGCTCAGGCTGTGAAGGTGACTGACGTGTTTCCTGCTCCCCAGATCCGCCTCCTGCGCGCCGGCGGGGACTCCTTTCCTCTGAAGGGCAGCTCCGGGGCCGTCCTGGGCAGGGTGAGTGCGGGCTGTGCTCCGCCAGCAGGTCAGCACCACGGACCTGCACGCGCACACCCACCCCACCCCTCTCGCCTCTGCCTCCCCACCCCGCGCTGTCAGCAGGCCCGCCTTGTCCCCCCACAAGCGGCAGGAAGGTGCCCCAGGCGCTGCATGCCCCCAGGTCCCTCCTGCACCCAGGACAGGCTCAGTCCTCCAGCCGCAGGGCCTGCCCGGCGCCCTGACTCCTCCCTGCCCCAGGCCCTGAGGAGCCACGACCGCAGCACCAAGCCCCTCTACGTCTCCGTGGGCCACAAGATGAGCCTGGAGGCGGCCGTGCGCCTGACCCACAGCTGCTGCCGGTTCCGGGTCCCAGAGCCCGTGCGCCAGGTGGGTGGGCGGCTCATCCAGGGCCTGGCTCTGCCTCTGGCCCCCCGGGACCCTGTCACCCAGTGGCCACCACCCCTTCCTTTGGTCCTGGGGCCTCCCTGGCTGCAGCGCGTGGGGTGGCCTCCAGGTGGCAGCACAGCCCGCACGGCGTGGGCTCAGCCCCTGCTGAAGGCCTGGGCCTCCGTGGCTGCTGAGCGGCTCCTGGGTGCCCACGCTCTCCCACCAGGTGCCGGTGGTGGGTGTCAAGCTGCCCCGTGGCCCTGGCTCCAGGAGCCTGTCCTGCGTCCCACCCACATGTGCGACCGGAACTGCCCCTGACCGCAGAGCTGGCCCTTGTGCTGGAGGGGCAGGTCCTGTCGCCAGTGGGGTGAGGCTGTCTAGCGACTCCGCTGTCCCTGGGTCCAGTCTCTGGGTCCCTGCCCGGCAGCACTGCCCTCCCGACTGCTTCCTGGGAGCGGGGGGGTGGGCGCTGCTCCCCATGGCGTCCGCGGGTGCCCGTGCCCGGCCTGGGCTCTCTCGCGGTGCCTTCCCACCAGAGTGCCGTCCCCCTGCCCGCTCCTGCTGGAACAGAGGCCTGGGGGCGGGTAGCTGTGTGTCCTGTCGGACGTGGCTCGAAGGCCCGGCCCCTGGGGTGGAGTCAGCACGTGGCAGGCCCTGCAGCCAGGTCCGGGGACCCACGGCCCCTGGCCACTCAGGGACTTCGTGGGCGTTTCTGCACCGCCCTGAGGACGGGGCGCTGGCTGAACCTGGGGGAGCCCTCAGGGAAGGGGTTTCGGCAGGGACCTCGGCTCAGGCCACACCAGCTAAGGGTGCTGTCCGCCAGGAAACCAGGGCAGCCGCGTGGCTGCAGCTGAAATGTGGGGGCCTGGATCCCCACCTTAGGCCTCAGGACCTGCTGTCCTCCTGTCACCTGCCCCCCAGGCCAGGCTTTCTCGGGGGGAGCGAGTGGCGGGAGGACTTGCCCAGGGGCCAGCTGGGGACCCAGCGCCTCAAGCGCCACCCTCTCCTCAGGCCGACATCCGCTCCCGAGACTACATTCGCAAGACCCTTGGCAGCCCCAGGCCCCCCGCCCCCGGGCAGGAGAGGTGAGCGCAGGAGGCTGGGCAGTGGTCAGGGTCCTCAGCTGGGGTGCAGTGTCCCTGAAGGGACGGGAGAGGAGCCAGCAGGATGCTGAGGGCCTGGGGGAGACGTGGCCAGAAACCCCCAAAGCCACGGCCCACCTCCCACCAGGGCACCTGCCTGCCGTGGGCATCTGCCTGGGAGGCGCGGGGGTGGGGCCCCACAAAGGGGGTGGAGGTCAGACCAGCGGGCTCCCGTCCTGGCTGCCCCACCAGCGTCCTTTCCGCTCTGAGCCTCGGCTCCTCGTCCGCGTGGCAGGCGCAGGGATGCCCATCCTGCTGGTCTCGTGGGGGAGCCTCCGGGACCGGTGCTGCCCTCATAGGCAGGAAGCAGGCGCGGGGCAGTGATGAGCAGAGCGGGTTCTGTCCTCCCTCCCCTGGGAGCCGGCGGCCTGGGCCTGGCGGAGCTGCTGAGGCCTGAGCGCTCCCAGGGCCGGCGGGGCGTCTGGGTGGAGGGTCCAGGTCAGGGGCAGCCTCCAGGGACCCCTGGTAGCGAGGGGCCCTCAGGCGCTGGGGTTTCATGCTGCCCCTTCTCACGTCCTCACCAGGAAGGCTCAGAGGCCAAAGGTGTGGCCCAAGGGAGGCCCCGAAGAGCCCCCGGGTGAGGGCAAGACCCCCGAGGCCCACAGCCCAGGCCTCAGGACACACCCGGAAGCCCCAGACCTGGGCGCCCAGGAGCAGTAGGACCAGGGCTGGGCGCGGAGCCAGCCGGACGCCCTGGAGAGAGCCGCCCGCCTGGCGCTCTGGCCTCAGAGCAGTCACTGGCCCGGGCGCCTCCGCAGGGGCAGGACCGGCCCCAGCAGCTGGCGGTGCGCTTGGACTCAGACACAGGCCGCGAGCGCCCTGCTCCCATGGCTGCGCTGTCCCCGTCCATGATCACGAGGCCTGGAACAGCCTGGGTGATGCCCACAGAGACCTCTCAGCACAGAGCCCAGACCCGGGCCCAGTGGCTTTCCCAGGGGTCACGGGAGGGGTTTTTTTTCTCTAAAAGTGCCTACGTGGTCCTGGCCAGTGTGGCTCAGTGGTTGAGCATCGACCTATGAACCAGGAGGTTATGGTTCGATTCCCGGTCAGGGTCACATGCCCGGTTGTGGGCTCGATTCCCAGTGGGGGGTGTGCAGGAGGCGGCCGACCCACGATTCTCATCATTAATGTTTCTCTCTCCCTTCCCCTCTGAAATCAATAAAAATAGATTTTGAAACAACAAAGGTGCTCACGGCCGCTGGACGGCACGGATGTTACCGCTCTGCCCCGCCCCCTCGGGAACATCTGCCACCGGCTGTTTCCGGTTGAGCTTCCTGATCATTAAACCATGGAGAGCTCCCAGGGGTGACGTCACAGCAGCACCCCGGGGCCACCTCAGGGGCGTGGGGCGACGGCGTGGCCTCCCCGCGAGTGGGAGCAGCTAAGGCCACCGCTTCCTCTGACCACAGGCCTCCGCGGGCCTCCCAGCTGCGGGTGAGGACAGAGGCAGGTTCCGCAGGCCCGTCCCTGTCCCCTGAGCCAGAGCCGCGGGCGGGGTCAGGTACATTCGCCGGCCACGTCCCTGAGCAGTTGGTGCGTTTTCATTGAAACGCACCCGGTTCTCGCCCACCCGTCACGGGGATGCTGGGTTTCTGTTCCGGCTCCTGTGGGCGGCTGCCCGGGGCGGCCACGCGCACGCTTTCGTGATGCGCGTTCGCAGTTCTGTCCGAGGGGTGACTTCCTGGCTCTGGGGCGACTCACTTCGTGGACCGGCCGGCGCTCGCCCAGTGGCAGCCTTTTCCCGGCGCAGCCAGGCCCGGCCCCCTGGCCCCGCCGGCACTGGCTGCGTCTGCCTTGCATGTCCCTGCTGACTAGTGAGGGGAGCCCCTTGTGTGCTTACTGCCCATTCGGGAGAAATGTCTCCTCAAATCCTCTGCTCTTTTTACTTTGTTTGTAAATATATTTTTATTGACGTCAGAGAGGAAGGGAGAGGGAGAGAGAGAGAGAGAAACATCGATGATGAGACGGAATCATGGATCTGCTGCCTCCTGCACACCCCCACTGGGGATGGAGCCCTCAACCTGGGCCTGTGCCCCGACCGGGAATCGAACCCGGGACCCTTCAGTCCACAGGCCGACGCTCTATCCACTGAGCCACCCCCACCAGGGCCCCTTTGCCCTTTTTAAAACTGAACCGTCTCATTCTGCTGTCTGTCTGGGGGACCCCGGCCCCGTCAGCCATGTGCCTCAGCTCTGCTCCCACTCCGGCTTGTCTTTTCGTCCCCCACGGTGTCCTCGACGGTGTCCTCGACACGTGGGCGCTTTTAAACTGGATGTGGAAGGAGCCTCCCTGTCCCTGGGGGCCGGGCCGGGGTGGTCGTGGCCGGTGGTCGGCGTGGATGCCCGGGGCGGCGCGTGGGCCGGAGGCGCTAGGACGGCGCTGGTGGGAAGACGCGGTGGGTCACCCCGGGGACCTGGCGCCCCGGCTTCGGTTCTTGTTTTCCTTCCGTTCGGTGATGGTGCTGGAGGGTCCCAGCTTCCTTTCCTGATCTTAGTGATTCGAGTGTTTTTCTGGGTCGTCTGGTTGAGTGGTTTCGGAGGCGCCCTGCCCCCACACCAGCGGGCCCCAGCAGTGACCTGGCTCAGTGGGGACTGCAGGGGGAGCCCACGCTCCCCCACATCCAGCCCTAACTCTGACCCTGACCCTGACCCTGACCCCAGCAGACAGGCCCTAAAGGTGCAGATCCCAGGCGCCCCGCCAAGTCCTCAGCTGAGCGCCCGGCCTCGGGGTGGGGGTGGGGGTGGGGGTGCTGAGCCCCCCACAGGCAGCAGAGACAGTGCGTGATGGGGGCGGGGCTTAAGCCTGGTGAGGAGGCGGGAGGGGGTCTGACCTTAAAGGGACCAGAGTTTCAGCTACAACTTCCAGGGAGACCCGCAGGGGTGAGTGCCACAGGCCTCGGCCTGGCAGTGCGGGGGGGGGGTGTTAGCGGGGGGGGGGGGGCCCAGAAGCACCCGGAGGAACCCAGGTGTATGGGGACCTGCTGGGCGGGGCGTTCGTAGGAGACCCGGGGCAGCAGGATGGGGTTTGGGAGGAGGCTTCAGTGGCACGTGCTGCCCACACCCACGCCCGTCCCCCTGCTCTGCCCTGTCTTCCCCCCACCCCCCTCCAGAGGGCGTGCGGGGCCGGAGTGGGTGGCGGCTCGCTCCTTCCCGCAGAACCTTAAAAATAGAGCCAAGATGATGCCCTCTCAGACCACAGCTGCCCCCGAGCCCAGAATAAGTCTGAACCCCTTAATAATTCACGGCGCTCCAAATAGCCTGGTGGCCCCTGCGCCCCTGCCCAGGTCCCCCCACCCCGTTCCCAGGGGGCTCCCGGGAGGTGGGGGGGCCTGGCTCCTGCAAAGCACACCCACGCCCCTCGCCTCGGAGACCCCGCCTGCCCACCCCCCCTCTCGGGCAGCCAGGCATGAATACCCCAGGTCCTCACTGTCCCAGGACCCTCCCCGCTGCACCCCTCCGGCCACAAACATCGGTCCCTTCCATCACAACCGCCCTGCCTCGGGCTTCTGGGGTCCCAGCCCTCCAGGGCCTGGGCCCAGTCCTGGCTGCACACACCCACCTGCTCCTCTGCCTCGGGAGGGTCCCCTAAAGGGGCTCCCTGCTGGCGGGAGCAGCTAGGACCAGGCCCTGGGTCCCGGCGTGCGGCCGCTGTGCTGCTGGGGTGGGAGTGGGTCCTCAGAGCCGGGCCCCGCAGCCTGCAGCCCCGCCCTGCCCGCCCGGTGATTAATGAAAGGCCCCGGCAGCGCTGACACCCAAAGGGATCGGATCTCACGCCGGGCGGGCGAGCAGGCGGCGAGGTGTGGGGGATGATGGAGCCAGGCCCGCTGTCCCCAGGTCACCCTCCAGGAGGCAGGAGTGCTTCTCGAAGTTTCCTGCCTCTGCGGGCGATGCTGGCGGTGTGGGGGGACCCAGGGGGGGAGCAGCTGCTGCTCCGGGCAGGACTGCGCCCCTCCATCTGCCTCCTCCCCACCAGCGGGCAGGGCAGGCGGGCTGATGGGAAGGAGGGAGAGGGAATGGGGGCGCGGGGGAAGGCTGTGGTGGGCAGAGGGGAGACCCAGGCCTCGGGGGGGCCTTCCCTGGGCGCGGGGCCCACGGAGCGGCTGTGGCGCGGCTGCGTGTCCTGTTTCTTACTGAAACGTCGCAGGTTTCTGATCAAAGTCAGCGTCTGTGAGCCTGGTGACGGCGACGCTCCTCTCCTGATGGCCCTTCCCGGCAACAGTTTACTTTTTCTGTTTGTTTTGGACCGTGTGTGTGTGAGTGTGTGTGTTTATGTGTGTGTGAGCATGTGTGTTTATGTGTGTTTTTGTGTGTGTTGTGTGTGAGCATGTGTGTGTATGAGTGTATTGTGTGTGCATGTGTGTGAGCGTGTGTTAGCATGTATGTGAGCATGTGTGTTTATGTGTGTGAGTGTGTATGAGCATGTGTATGTATGAGTATGTTGTGAGAGCATGTGTATGTATGAGTGTGAGCATGTGTGTGCGTGTATTACGTGTGTGAGTGCATCTGTATGTATGAGTGTATTGTGTGTGAGAGCATGTGTGTGAGCGTGTGTTAGCATGTATGTGAGCATGTGTGTTTATGTGTGTGAGTGTGTATGAGCATGTGTATGTATGAGTATGTTGTGTGTGAGAGCATGTGTATGTATGAGTGTGAGCATGTGTGTGCGTGTATTACGTGTGTGAGTGCATCTGTATGTATGAGTGTATTGTGTGTGAGAGCATGTGTGTGAGCGTGTATGTGTGTATTGTGTGTATTGTGTGTGCATGTGTATGTATGAGTGTATTGTGTGTGCATGTGTGTGAGCGTGTGTGAGCATGTATGTGAGCGTGTGTGTTTATGTGTGTGAGTGTGTATGAGCATGTGTATGTATGAGTATGTTGTGAGAGCATGTGTATGTATGAGTGTATTGTGTGTGCATGTGTGTGCGTGTATTGCGTGTGTGTGCGTGTGTGTATGAGTGTGTTGTGTGTGTATGCGTGTATTGTGTGTATTGTGTGTGCGTGTGTATGTATGAGTGTATTTGTGTGAGCATGTGTGTGTGTGTATGAGCGTGTGTGTGTGTGAGAGCTTCTAAATGGGCCCTGACGTCCTGGGTTTCTCATTTGGAAATAACCCATTGGCTTCGCACTGAGTTTGGTCTCTCCCAGTGGCCTTCGCGCACTCTCCCACACGCACACGCACACGCACACGCACACCCCCTCCCCAGGGCTCAGCGTGTGCCCTCCCTCCATGCACACCTTCCCGGCGGAGGGCCTGCGGCCGCGTGGCCCCGGGGGCCAGCCTCTTGCTTCTCCTGGGCTCACTGGCGGCCCTTTCTTGTCTACCCCAGACGCTGCTATGGGAACAGGACCTCTGGGGGCCCTCCATGGGTCCCTTTCTTCCTGGAGCTGTGGCAGCTCCCCGCGGGGTCCCAGTGTCCGAGTCTCCTGCTTGTGTCCCCGGTACCCGCCGCAGAGCCGGCCCCGCTGCCCCGGCTTGTTGCCTGGGACACGGGCACATCCATCCCACGCCCGTGTCGCGTCCCCTCCGTCCTCGGTTCAGTGGTGTCCTCTGGTGGCTTCTGAGATCCTGCACGAGAGCCACAGCCCCCGGCCGCCCCGGAGGCCGGCGCCACAGCTCCCCGCCGCGACCGGGAAGGGCGCCTCTTCAGCTGCCGGAGCCACAGGGACACCACGGGTCTCTCACGGGTGTCGGCGGCTCCAGATGAACCACATGGTCCCGTGTGGTGACATGAGGGGTGAGGGTCCAGGGCGCGGGGGTGGGGGGCACCACTGTCCTGGTGCTGAAGCCAGTGCGGCCGTGGGGCTGGGCCTGAGGTGCTGGGAGCCTGGCTCTGGCTTTACTCCCCACCACCCTGCCCCGCATCCCCCCCCCCGACCTCCCCCAGCCCCCTGCAGCTTGGGCTCCTCCTCCAGATCGCCTCCCTCCGGCCCCGCCTCTTGGTTCTGACTGGCCTGGCTTGACCGTGACCACTGCTGGACTTGACCACTGTGGCTGGAGGTCAGTGTCCAGCCTGGAGCCAGGGTGTGGCATTAGCCCTGCCCACGTGCAGGGGTCTCTCAGGGCGGTCAGCACT